CTAACAGCCTACTGCTCCCTTAGTCCGCCGCCCCAATCTTCTGTAAAGATTAAGGCTTCACTATTCCAAGCTGGCAGAGCTATAGCTGCGTGGATCAATCCAGGAAGGAGATATCCAGCTGTCAAGGGAAAGTAGTCTGTTAGCTGATAGTTGTTGTATTCAGTTAGATAGTTATCCAGCTGTTAACTAACCGATTGAATAATAACTCCTATAAGTAGGAGAATGTACAGATACGAAGCTTACGAATGATCAGTCTTATGCTTTTTCTCTCAACTCCATATTCTTTTCTTCCATTTCTTACAATTTGTTATGATTGAACTCTTTCTCTCTGTCAATCCTAACAATTTGGTATCAGAGCTTTAGATCCTTCTGCGCAGCAAGTCGATCATGGCCAAACAGAGTAATACAGATAGAATTACTCAGCTGGAAATAGACCTAGCCAATTTGAAAATAGAGCTGGAAAGGATGCACGAATCTCAGAAAGAGGATACTGCAAAGATGATGAAAACTCAAGAGAAACAATTTGAAGAGATGATTAATGCAGTAAAAGGGATTCAGAACAAAACTCCTATCCAGACTGATCGCCCCATCAGGAATCATGACTCTGGATTAATTCCAACCAATTCCGGCAATAATAAAGGTATTAAAGTTGATTTTCCACGTTTTGATGGGAGTAATGCCAGAGGGTGGATAAGGAAGTGTCAGCGTTATTTCCTAATTCATCAAATGTCTGACTTTGAGAAAATTATATTGGTTGGAATGTATGTTGAGGGAGCTGTGGAAAATTGGTACATGGACAGGATTGTAGGAAAAGAAGCTATGGGGTGGGAAGCTTTTGTAATACTGTTTCTTGATAAATTTTCAAAGGAGAATGAAATCATAGGGGAATTTAATAAACTGAGGCAAAGGGGACAAGTTGATGAATACATAGATAAGTTTGCTGAGTTGAAATCATTGATGCTACAAAGGAATAAACATTTAGATGAGTACTACTTCCTGAAAAGTTTTTTGAGTGGACTAAAGGAAGAGATTAAAAACATGGTGGAGATTGTAGCCCCTGACACACTAGAACAGGCTTTCTTGATTGCTAAAAAACAAGAAGCATTGCTGGAGGCCCTGAGCAAAACAGGAAGAAGCTTACAAAAGACTAACTGGGGAAAGGAAGGAAATGAGGCTAGAGGGGTAAAATTGACTGAAAAAGTGTTGCCAGTAAGAAGATTAAATAAAGAAGAGATGGATGTCAGGAGGAAAAAAGGGTTATGCTTCAACTGTGATGAAGCATATACTCTAGGGCACAAATGTAAGAAAGTCTTTGTTATACAGTTAACTGAGGAAGAAGAAAATCAGAATGCTGGATTGATTCTGCAAGATGAAAGTGAAGAGGAAACAGATTTTGGGGTTTCCTTGCATGCACTCAAAGGACAAGTTCCTACAGACACAATCAAACTAAAAGGGAAGGTGAAGAACAATCATTTGACCATACTAGTGGATTCAGGAAGCACTCATAGTTTCCTTGACCCTGGAACAGCAAAAAAAATCAATTGCAACATTGAAATGACCAACCCATTGCAGGTTACTGTGGCAGGAGGGGGCAAAATAGAGTGTAATTCTAAATGTCCCAAATTGGAGTGGGAAATGGCTGGACATACTTTTGCAGCTACCTTGAGAGTACTACCACTGGGAGGATATGATATGGTCATGGGGGTAGACCTGATGAAGAAGCTGGGACCAATCATGCTAGATTATGACAACCATTCTATCACTTTTGATCATCAGGGACAGAAAGTAGTAGTGCCAGGCATACAACCAGAAGTATCAGTAAAAATGATGTCTGGGAAGAAGATGAAAGGGTTATGGAACAAAAAGAATAGTGTGGTGTCCAAATACTTATGTATGATTACCTCAGTACAAGAAGAAGAAAAGGTAGATAAAGAAGAAGAAATGGAAGAATTATTGAAGGAGTTTCAGATAATCTTCCAAGAGCCTAAAGAACTACCTCCCCTGAGAAATTGTGAGCATCAGATTAATATCAAACCAGGAGAAAAACCTTTCAAACAGGCCCCATACAGATACCCTTATCTGCAGAGACAAGAAATAGAGAGGTTGGTCAAAGAGATGCTCAATTCTGGGATTATTCAACATAGCCACAGTCCCTATTCCAGTCCAGTGTTACTTGTAAAAAAAAAGGATGGAACTTGGCGGTTTTGTGTTGATTATAGAAAGCTCAACTCTATAACCATAAAAGATAACTACCCCATTCCTTTGATAGATGATCTATTGGATGAGTTACATGGAGCATCAATTTTTTCCAAAATTGACCTAAGGGCTGGATACCATCAAGTCAGAATGAAGCAAGAAGATATTGAGAAGACTGCTTTCATCACTGCTAATGGACTGTATGAGTTTACAGTTATGCCCTTTGGGTTAACAAATGCACCAGCCACATTTCAAGCTCTCATGAATAATGTGTTCAGACATTGCTTGAAACAATTTGTTCTAGTCTTTTTTGATGACATCTTGATCTACAGTTCTGACAGAGAGATACATAAACAACATCTGAGAGAAGTCTTTATGTTATTACAGCAAAACACCCTATTTGCTAAGAGATCCAAGTGTACATTTGGAGTGTCACAAGTGGAGTATCTAGGGCATATTATCAGTTCTTCTGGAGTTGCTGTAAATCCTGAAAAGATCAAGAGTATTGTGGACTGGCCAGTACCCTCTAATCTCAGGGCTCTAAGGGGATTTCTTGGTATGACTGGATATTTCAGGAAATTCTGCCATCAGTATGGAATTAAAGCTAAGCCCCTAACTGATCTGACAAAAAAAGGGATGTTCAAGTGGAATGCAACAGCTCAACAAACATTCGAAGCATTGAAGGAAGCCATGTGCTCTGTACCTATTCTGCAACTACCAGATTTCAACAAAACCTTTATAGTTGAAACTGATGCATGCTATGAAGGGTTGGGAGCTGTGTTATTACAGGAGGGACATCCTTTAGCTTATATCAGCAAAGCATTGAGTCCTAAGAATCTAGGACTGTCCATCTATGAAAAAGAATTTTTAGCTATATTATTAGCTACTGACAAATGGAGAGCTTACTTGTTGCATGCTCCTTTTATAATAAGGACAGATCAAATCAGTCTTAAATACTTAGTTGATCAAAGGATTTCTACTCCTATTCAACATAAGTATTTAACCAAGCTGTTGGGATTTGACTATAAGATAGAATATAAAAAAGGGGAGGAGAATAAAGTGGCAGATGCACTATCCAGAAGAGATCAGTCAGATTATCAAAGGAAGGAAGAATCTTTCTCTATCTCAATAATTCACCCTAAATGGCAGGAAGAATTGATTGAGAGTTATAAAGGGGATCAAGAAGCTGAGGAAGCCGTCCTACAACTTGTGGCCACTCCCTTTAACCTGAGCTATTACTCTTACTGTAATGGAATATTGAGGTATAAAGGAAAATTGTATGTTGGATCCTATGGGGATCTAAGGAGTAAAGTAGTCACTATGATACATGCTAGCCCTCAGGGAGGTCACTCTGGAGTGTTAGTTACTTTTAAGAGGCTGCAAAACTTATTCTGGTGGCCACAAATCAAGAGATCAGTAGAAGAAGTGATTAAGTGCTGCTCTATTTGCCAGATTTGCAAGCATGAGAATGTTAAAAGCCCAGGGTTATTACAACCTCTGCCAGTCCCACAACAAGCTTGGCAACATATAACAATGGATTTCATTGAAAAGTTGCCTAAATCTGGAGGGTATGATACAATATTAGTTGTGGTTGATAGATTTACAAAGTATGCTCATTTTGTTCCATTAACTCATCCTTTCACTGCCTCAGTCATAGCCACAGTGTTCTTGAATCAGATTTGCAAGTTTCATGGCCTACCTGAATCTATTATCTCTGATAGAGATAAGGTGTTTACCAGTATGTTCTGGAAAGAATTGTTTAAATCCTTAGGAGTACACCACCATTTAAGCACTGCTTATCACCCTCAAACAGATGGACAAACAGAAAGGGTAAATCAGTGTTTAGAAAACTATTTAAGGTGTATGAGCGGACAGGTTCCTAAGGATTGGAGTAAATGGTTGCCTTTAGCCCAATGGTGGTACAACAGTTGTTATCATACTGCAAGTGGAATGAGTCCTTTTGAAGCTTTGTTTGGTTACAAACCTCCTTTACTAAATCTGGGACCCTATTCAGAAATATCAGTAGTGGGAGTAGAAGAAGAATTAGAAAAAAGGCAAGAAATCTCTGAAAGACTCAAATACCAACTCAACCTATCCAAACAAAGAATGAAGGAATTGGCTGATAAAGGAAGGAGTGAACGTGAACTGAGTATAGGGGATTGGGTATATCTGAAACTGAAACCATACAGGCAGATGAGTATGAAGAAGTCTGCAATGTGGAAATTAAGTCCTAAATACTGTGGACCTTTTCCAATAATAGAGAAGATTGGAGCAGTTGCTTACAAACTAGAATTACCAAATGGAAGCAAGATACATCCAGTCTTTCATGTATCTGTACTCAAGAAACATGTGGGGTCAAAAGAAAAGGTTTCAAGTTCTATACCAATTATGACTGAAGAAGGAAATGCTGTGCTAGTACCAGTTGGTATTTTAGCTAGAAGAATAGTGAAAAGAAACAATGCAGCTGTGGCTCAAATACTTATTCAGTGGGAACACTTGCAACCTGATGAAGCCACTTGGGAAGACTATAACGTGGTTATTAAGCAATTTCCTCAACTGGAAGCTTGTGGACAAGCTTCGAAAGAAGGGGAGGGTGATGTAAAGATTAAGGCTTCACTATTCCAAGCTGGCAGAGCTATAGCTGCGTGGATCAATCCAGGAAGGAGATATCCAGCTGTCAAGGGAAAGTAGTCTGTTAGCTGATAGTTGTTGTATTCAGTTAGATAGTTATCCAGCTGTTAACTAACCGATTGAATAATAACTCCTATAAGTAGGAGAATGTACAGATACGAAGCTTACGAATGATCAGTCTTATGCTTTTTCTCTCAACTCCATATTCTTTTCTTCCATTTCTTACAATTTGTTATGATTGAACTCTTTCTCTCTGTCAATCCTAACATCTTCCTCATCGAGAAGAACTCCGGCGACAGCGGTTTCTTTCATCTTCCGCGAGTCCAGATTCCTCTTCACCTGACAGCCGACCGCACCGCCGTACCGTGAGAATCGTATATGGATCTGCTTGTATCGCACACCCACACAATCGACTGTGTTGTGCGCAACTGAACAAGCTCGAAGCTCTCTCACCGCAGATCGACGGTGCTCATCCGAAGGAAACCGTCACCGCTGGCCCGCTACTATCCGCAGGTCACCGCCCCGCTGCTGCAAGTCCCCTGCTTGCCGACAAAACTTTCTGCTTTCTTAATTGCTTGCTGAAGTTCGCACTCGCTGGATCTACCGAAGAAGGAAGACACCCGCCAACCGGATCTGCTGCTAAAGGCTGAGGCCCGCCCACCGGATCTGACGCTGAACGCAGCCGCCATCGCACGCTGTTCCCGATCTGTACAAGGATCCCCTGTTCACGCTTCGCTATGCAAAGTCTCATCTTCAATTTTGAGGTTAGTTTTCCTATTTCAGCATTGGACCAGATTTCTTCAATCATTTAAAATGAATGACCGATCATGCAAGATTAATTCTTCTATTAATCGTGAGTAACTACCACCTATGAAAATTAGATCTGAAATGGTAATTTTTTTTTGACAGAAGATCTGAAATGTTAAATTTTAACAGTGCTAATATTACGATTTCAAGTATTTGTTTATTACTACTATTATCTATCTATGTCGACTCAAGCATCTTCAGAATATCATAAATTCGCAAATATCAAGAATAGTTAAATCCTGTACTTGATACTTGTATTACCTGGTAAAGTATGAATGATTCGGAAATCATTTTTTGTTGATGCTATTTTAATTGTTCCCTTCGTATTTCAGCATTTAGTTGTTCAGGTTTCAAATTCTCATTGTTACTGAATGAGCCTAACTTGATCCTGTCCACCCAATTTTGAGCATCGTCATTCAGTTTTTCCTTATGGAACCCCTTTTTATGGCGACGATGAAATGATCAAGAATTGATTAAAAAAAAAGATCTAGAATTGTCAAAATTGTGGGTATAAAAAGAAAATATACCCAAAGATTGAGAAAGCCATCCAATGACTCCTTTTTTTTTTGAAAGGAGCTCGTTTTTATCAATAAGTGATTTATGACATTTTTTTTTTTCTGATTGTTGATCAATGGAATGCACATCACTTTATTATTCTCAAGTGTATCAATGCTTTATTAGGCACATTTTACACCTAAAATGTATTCTTTTGTGAAAAGTTAATTACTAAAACTTGGATACAAGGAAATATTCATTCTCTTTATACATACTTCTTGATGTATACTAATGAACTAGTATAAATCAAAGTATAACAGAACTTTCAAAGCTTTTAGCTTGCTGTACTAAAAGAGATGTATTGTTATTTTTTAAATGTAATCGCATTTATTTTGGGACAAAGAAATCTTCCAAGAGCTATTTGGACAGAAATTTCCAAATACAATTTGAGAATATAAATTTTAAAATAAATCCCTAAATATTAGAGGGTCAAATGTGACAATCTCATTAGAATATATATAATTGAAATTTAGACATGCACTTCTCTTCGTAGAATAATCTCTGAAGAATAAGAGTTTATGATTGTCCACTATGTTGAGAATAAGAACCTTCTCTTATTGTTCAATTTATCCTTTTTTTTAACTCTTTCATGAGCTTAAATAATATGGACATTATTACTTCTAATTAGACTATTGTTTAAGTCTTAAAGTTTGATATAAATTATATTCGTTGGAAATTTTAAATTGATTTGACATCTCATGATTTTATCTCAAATTATATTTGAGATATTTATCCATTTGGATTCATTAAATGCATATCTATGAATTTTCTACATAAACCAGTGGATGCAAAGGTGCTTGAGATAATAGCACTCTAAAGTATATGAGTGACATTTGCAAATTATTACAACCTCTAACAAATAAGTGTTTTAACCAATTGTGGTTGTACCTTATTTTCATTTATGATTGATTAAGGTGATGGTCTGTCTAATTATTTCATATCTAAATGAATAGAATTGTACCGATGACCTCTAAATGCATCTAGGAGTCACCAAAATTTACTATGTCTTAATTTGTCCATCACAATGGTTTTCAAATAAAATGTTCCAATTCTTGTGAATGGACTCTTTTTAAAGTAAGAAGAGTTGCCCCTTATACACCTGTGTGAGGCTTCTCCGAACCCTTATACATTGCTTGGACATCATTGTTCAAGGGGCTACTCTCAATGGGTGTTCACATAGAAATTTGCTATAAAAATGAGATAGAAAATATTATATTGCGTCTAATAACCGCAAAAGAAAATGCATATTTAATAAATTTATGAGTCAAAATGGGCATTGACTCATACAAATTTTAAAATTACTGACTCATCATTAATCATTCGAATAAGGGATAAAGGGATCCAACAAAAAGTAAATTGTTGGTTTTAGCATTGCTAAATAACAGATCAATATACATTTTTTGAAGTACGAGAAGAAATTTTTTACCCTCCATTATGCCTTACAATATTTTAGAAGGTATGTCAGTTATTTCTTAAAATTTACTCCTTAGCAATAATAGAATCGAGACTTGTCTATGCTAAGGATATAAAAATGAAGATATCTCATTTTTCAAAATAATGTGACATGTATCTACCAAAATGCGGGCCATTTAAGTAATTATAGGTTGGTAGAAATCTCCACATGCTATCTATTTTCTTGTTACATAAAATGTTGCATTTGCAAAATTTCTAGCAAAACTTATTTATTTAAGGGCTCACCACCCGACTAATCAAGTCTGTATTACTTGTTATTGCTAGACAGTTCTCATCAAAAGTACTTGATGAGTATTGCATATTTGTCGAGATCAATGAAAAACATCTCACATCCCATGTAAAAATAAAGTCTTACTAAAGCTCACATATAAAAGAATATAGATGGTGAACATTACATCTATTATGCGCACTAATATATAATTCTTTGCATGGGATTATGCAATATTGCAAGCACTCTTACACATTTGTTTTACTAAGACCGATAGTAGACAACCACTTTTGTATATACCAATTGGTGACTGGATCTTAGCTTGAGATGTTCTACTTATGCATATGTGGTTGTTAAATGTGGTGCCTATTGCGCCTCCCACAGCGCACTATAATCGGTTTTAAAAGACAAATGATATTTATGTTGGAGATGAACCTCCAATAATAATCCGCTACAAGCCTTAACATATAATGTGTACACCGCTCTGCGGAATACCACTTTGATGAGACAAATGATTTTCCTGTCATCAGGGGGAGATTAATGAAAGAATTCTCTAATTGAATGACATAATCATTATGATGTATATCGCTACTCTGTCTCAATGATAAATCTTAGACATCAAAATGTAACATTGAAGTTGATGTGTTTATCAATGATTTAAATAATCAGATTATATACACTAGCTGTAATTATATCTTTAAGGCTAGCTTAAAGTTCAAATTAAAAGATACAATGCTAAAGGAACAAGCATTGCAACCACAAATAGTGGGGTTGTGGTTAGGCCGTGGCTCTCTAAAGGAATAGAGGGAAGTCACATGGTTCGATTAATAATCCACCCCAAGTAGTAGAGGGTAGATAAGGCACACATCAATATATTCGTCATCATATGAATTCCTCTCACGAGATTGTCTCTGAATAAATATGTCCTTGAATCATAATGGGGGACGCCCCGAAGTTTAAATGATTCCAGAGAATTAAAATCTCCATGTTAATGAGAGTGTGTATGAGTCGAATGATAGACCTTACACTTATACTGACGATATATTTACGGTTGCTCAAACGAATATAGAGCACGATGATATCGAACCATACTCTATTGCAACATGAAAGCAATGAGAATTTTGGCCTAAAAGTGTACAAGTAATCCAGGTATAAATTTAATATTTGACAAAGAGACAGGTATTTGGTGTGATAGTGCTAATCAACCAAGTGTAAAGCCTGTAGGACATAAATTATTCTTTGTTAGAAAGCGTATTAAGATAATGAGGTCCTAATTATTCTCACTACGCCCTGGATTCAAATATGAAAAGTTACATACACTTCTCTATTTTGAACACAAAAATGTCCAACTACTTAATTCTTAAGTAGCCTCCAAAGTAATGGAGATCAGCTAAAGATTGGGGTCACCAAATAAATGTCTCAATCTTACTTAAGAGCAGTTATGTTTTTATGAAGCACTTATGTTTTTATCAAGAGGATTTTAATAACATTATATACGTTCACATTTGGATTAAATCAATCCAAACGGGAGTGACATACCCGTCTAAGTGACCACTTGACTAAAAAGGGATGCAAAATGAATATATTATGCCTAGCGCATTTATAATGGAAATAAGTTTTGTTTCCAAATATCATTGTATCTCCATGATATAGACATAATATGTACTCATAATGGAACATGAGACATGTTAGATACTTGAAAATCATAATTGAGATAAAGGATCTTGGGAAACTTGGTTCTGTTTTGAAATTAAACACCGAGTTGGTTGAATACTAATTCACCAGTTGCATATATCCAAAAGAGTTCTCAGGCAAAATTGACATGGATAAATGTAAACTGTTAACACTCCCATGATCGGTCGAAATATGGATACTAGAAAAGTTCCATTACTAAAAAGTTATTGGGAGGAGAAATTCCCTATGTAAGTGCAATATGCGCATGATTGTACTTTGACCAACATATTCGACCAAATATTACATTCTCAATAACGTGTTAGCTAAAAATAGCTCAGGACCAACACATCGTATATCGTCATTGAAATGGTATCAAGAATGTGCTTTGATATCTATATGAAACCATCGGAGTAATCGTTATTCATCCCTTATAAATTGAATTAAATGATTGATGATAACAACATTTCTAAAGGAATTGAAAATATCAAAAGTATTACTCTAACACAAAGTAACGTGATTTGAGTTTTACTGATGATGGGTATCCCCTTACCTCATTGATATTTTATTAATGAGTATATATTTATCTTGAAAGAGACCATGATGTTATATACGGAATACCTTGATAAAAGTATATATCAAGTAAATGTTAAATTCTTATTGATGTGTTGCACTCAGGGGGAGTACTTACACACTTATTTATCATCAATTATAATGGTGCGTTGTACTCTTTTTCCTTCGACCAATGTTTATTTTTTCCCATCGGGTTTTGTTACTTGGTAAGGTTTTTTTTTTTTTGAGGCAACACAACATGCAACATCCCACATTTTAATTTTGCAAATGTAAAATTATGTTGAAGGAAGAACATAATTAATATATCGCAGTCAAAAGTAATTGACATGTGCTATTAGTGCATCGCATTTTTCCCTTGACCAATGTTTATTTTTCCCATTGGGTTTTGTTCATTGGCAAGGTTTTAGCAAGTTAAATTTTTCTTACCCTTATCACCTTATACTTGGCACACAGGGGGAGAATTGAAGGAAATATATTCCTCTATTTTGTGTGCCTTCGCTAAGGTAATTAACGTAAAAAGTATTGGAATGCATGGACTTTCCAAATATCCTTGATTAATGTAATTACTAAGGATATGTGTAGACTTGAGGGGGAGTTCCCCATCTACGTTATGTTACACTCTTTTCCTTTAACCAAGTTTTATTTTTCCCACCGGGTTTTGTTACTTGGTAAGGTTTTTAATGAGGTAACAATACATATAAACTTTATTGATCAAAGCAAGGATCAAATAAACACAGACTTAATGGAAGAAGTCTATCGTGATGCTATACTCTTTTTTCCAGTCAAGGTTATTTTTTCCCACAGGGTTTTTATTACTTGACAGAGGTTTTGTCGAGACAACAAGACAGATACCAAATTCTATTCAACTCAGCACAAGGGGGAGTGTTGAAGGAAATTCTATGTAGTGTGCTATCGTTTATATAGAATATGTATTAGGGTCATTTCTATGTAAACTATGTAATATGGGCCTATTGGCCCATACTTGTAAACCCTACTCTATCCCTATTTATAGGGGCATTCGCTAATGAAATTCTACGAACAATTCTCCCTACAACAATACCTAACTTTTATCATACAAAGTACAAACTAGATTTAAATAGACTAAATGTTTATTTCAACTCGCCACTAATATGATCACACTACGGGAGAAAAAATTCAATTCAAATTATTAAATTAGAGTATCTTAATAAGCAAGAGGTTTATACGCTTTTGAAGTTTGTGATATACTCCTTATCTTTCAACTTTTTAAGTATGTGTGTTTTATACTTTTTTGTAATTGAGTTAAATTAAATACATCAAAATTGGAATAGAAACTAATAAAGGTACGTAATGAGGAGAAAATTAATTTCATGAAAAAGTAGGGAAGTACAAGATAATAATGAGATAATAATCTCACCAAATCTCAATTGCTTGTACCCAAGAACAAATGCGGTTGCAACCGCCTGCGCGTCATCGAGCCGTAGCTGCTGATCACCGCGAAGATGACCGGCACAAATGCCAGTGGGCCAACCAAACACCTCGCCGCTTGTTGTATATCGCACGAGTTCTACAGACGCGCTTCAGCTAACCCAAGCAGGATTGCAGTGATACACGCGTCCGGTGGTAGTCGGCTATTCCAAGAATTCCACCGCCTTCACTCTGACCAAACCTTTGCTGACTTTGATGAGCTCGTGTCAGAGAAGAGGACTTCACATCGCCCTACAATTTACGAAGGCGACATATGCTTCACTTTTTCTGACATTCTATCAGCGGTTGATGCTCTCAGCGCTAAGCTCCGCCGGGTTCTCAACTGCACCGATGATTCACGTCTTATTAAACACGATGATTCAGGTATTCGCATTCCTCCTGCAGGCAGGTTATGCGTATTAGTTTACAAGTACCCGTTCAGCTGCAGAAAATGGTGCTTAAGCGGTTCAACCGGCCATGGAAGTTGTAAAAATAGATTCTTTGTTTAAGAGTCAATTTCTTTCCTGGCTTACTTTTGTATATGAATATGACGTAATCCATAGTTATTTTCTTTGATTTGCATTAACTGGCAGTTTCCTTCATTTTAAGCTCTGGCTGCACAAACTTGTCTGATTAAAAGAAACTAGTTAAGAGACAGTACAAATACACTCCCAAGGCTTCGTCTTTGGTGCAAAACTGCAAATGGATCCTTAAGGATTTTTAGGGGCAATGCTTTAAACACCTTGCAATGGACATATAAGCACTTCTCTTCATGGACTCCAAGTGGATGTTGTTGCCATTTTCTTCCTGCCCATATACTCATGGAAATCATCAGATGTTCTCCATTATAAAAGTAAACTAAGAAGTTTATTTAGACAATTTTTTTTATTATTTATTTAGACAATTATATACACACGACAAGGAAGAAACAAAATATGATTTATCTCAAGGGTATGACCGTATGAGAGTTAAATGTTGTGAAAGTTGAAGCTGTACAGAATTTGTGAAACTGAGAAAGTGAGAACTAAAAAACTGCGAAAGTGAGAACTAAAAACATCAATTATGGTGTATGGATCATGGGGAGGTGGGGATGTAATTTGACTTGTGTCTGAAAAATAAATTTAAGGTGAAATGCCGTGAAATGAAGCTCCAACCTATTAATTCGTCCAATACAGAGCTCTAGTCCCCTACTCCCCTCGTTTTGGCTTTGCTCAAGTTGGGTTCTTCAAAGGCTTCTCCAATAAGGAGAGAGAAAATGAAAGGAACATAAGTATCCGTTGGTGGGATAATGCATCTAGAAGTTTGTTTCTTGTCTGATGTGCCAAGATACCGTAATGCCCATTAAAACATGTTTATAATTCCTTTGAGAAACATTGAAGAGATATTTTTATATGCCCTCTAAATGAGTGCTTTGAAGGCTTATTTGCACCTCAAAAAAAGTTAAGAGCTAATCTGCATCGCAGAGCGAATGTACTTGAGATGTGTATTTGCAACTTTTCCCAAAGTAATTAGTTGTCAAAGTCTTGTTTTCTCATTCTCCTTCTCCTTCTTCTTTTCTGTTTTCTCTTTAACGGTCTTTGCCTGCTTCTTAGCTTTCTCAGTTTTAGCAGGCAATGACTTTCACAGGGATCAGTTAGTACAACACTTCAATGAATCTCAGAAGACATATACTCCAAGAGTAATAGGAATATATATGGAGCCATCTATTGAATATATTGTTACTGTCCTCTCTGTACTGAGATGTGGATATGCTTTTATGCCACTGGAGCCATCATGGCCTAATGAGAGGATATCACGGGTACTATCTTCTTCAAAAGTGGACCTCCTTGTGGGTTGCGGGTCTCTAGTTAACAGTAGTTTTCACTGCATCGATAAGTTAGATTGGCTCATAGATGATGGAAGATGTCCTGTATTGCCTATATATATGGAAGATTACATCCAAAAGAATGATTCTGGTCCGTTGAATTTAGTCTGGCCATGTGAAAGAGAAAGGTTAAGATCATTCTGTTACTTGATTTACACATCTGGGTCTACTGGGGAGCCTAAAGGTGTATGTGGCACTGAAGCAGGTGAAACTCATAATGATTCATGTGCCACTTGGCACTCTTTATTCAATCTTTCTGTAAAAGTTATGACATGAACTCTATGCAGGTCTTCTGAATCGCTTTTTTGGGATGCAAGAATTGTACCCCTTACAAGTAGAAGATCAGTTGCTCTTTAAAACATCAATAAGTTTTATTGATCATTTGCAGGAGTTTCTTGGAGCTCTGCTAGCCACCTGTACGTTGGTTATACCCCCTTTCAATCAGCTGAAAGAAAATTTGTTTTATATTGTCAGTTTTTTGAAGGTAGATCTTTAAAACTAATGTTCTTAAAAAGAACTCTTTTTGACTTAGCAATGCATGAAGGAGAGACCATGCTCACATTTATCATTTATTTTCAAGTTTCCCTAGAAATCCAATGTATAGATACAAAAATGTTTTTTTTTGCCTATGCAGGATTACTCGATCAGCAGGATTATAGCTGTTCCGTCATTCATGAGAGCAATAATTCCTACACTAGAAAGTCTATATTTTAGGAGAATTCAAAGTTCTTTGAAAGTTTTAGTATTAAGTGGTGAAACTTTACACCTTTCAATGTTGAAGATCCTTGTTGAGCTACTGCCCCGGACTACTATTTTGAATTTATATGGGAGTACAGAGGTATGTTTAAGTTAATTTCCACCAGATAAGCACATTCAATTCTGATATATACTCATAGTGGATCTTCAAAAATGGATTATTTTAGACTTTTAGTCAATTAGTTCACAAGAAGCCACACCATAATCCAAGGGTCTCATATTCAGGTTTCTGGTGATTGTACATACTTTGATTGCAAGGATTTGCCTCTCATCCTGGAGCATGAAAATTTGAGTAGTGTTCCAATTGGCTTGCCCTTGTACAACTGTGATGTTCATCTTCATGGAGATGATGATCCCAATGAAGGAGAGATATGTGTGGGTGGGCTCTGCCTTTCAGCAGGATACTTTAATTATCCTTTTGTTTTGCCATTGGACTATGTAGAATTGTCTCAGGGATTTGATAGTGAGAGCACTGATCGTAGAGTTCATTGCTATTTTAGAACCGGGGATTTCGCCAGAAAACTTCAAAATGGGAACTTTGTTTTTCTAGGGAGAAAAGACCGCACCGTTAAGGTTAGTGGGCAGCGCATTGCTTTGGAGGAGGTTGAAAATGTTTTGGCGGAACATCCAGAAGTAGCTGATGCCACTGTAATTTTCTGTAATGACAAGGGGGATATTTCACTCCTGGAAGCGCATCTGATACTGAAGGAAAACAGTGAACATGTTGTGACTTTGAGATCTATCATGAATTGGTTAGCTAAAAAACTCCCTCCGGCTATGGTTCCTGTTCGTTTCTTCTTCACTGATTCGTTTCCCATGTCTTCTGGTGGAAAAGTTGATTACAACCTATTGGCTAATAGCCGTGTATGGAACACATGTTTCACTAGTGAGATCGATGGAACTCAAGATCTTGACCTGATTCAAGCTATCGAAAAGGTTTCTTGAGTTTAAACTTAGAGATGCTTAACAATATTTTCTGATTATACCTCTATTTATTCATTTGCTTTCCAAAGTTATGTACTCCCTTTGTCCCAAGATAAACTTCCCATATTCCTTTGTAGGTTGTTCCATATTAAAATTCTCACATCATCCTAAGGAATTGAATGGCGCATATTGTTTTTTTTCTTTCCTAAATAAACCTCAACCACATAAGTTTATTTTCTTGATTCCCGTGTCGGAAGCAAGTTGGAAGTTTTATGGGATGGTGGGAGTGTACTAATAAAAGGTTTATTGATATCCACTGTTCAGTAGCTGTATAAGGAGGGTTTAGAGTGAATTGACAGTGTGTTCCAAATGTTATATGTGAGTTTTATTCTACTTCTTTAGCTCTTTTTTTGTGGAGGGGGGATGCTGCACAAGCACTAACATCCACTAAGTTTCTGTCTTGCTTATTTGAGTAGAACCAGGACTAATGCATTTTCACTTAGAAGCCTTAACTAGCTAGAACTTCTGTTTTTAATTGCCTTTATATAACATACATTTAAGCTTGAAGATGTGCATGAGCCAAAAAGTCTTAGTTGAGAGTGCAAGGTTCTTAGAACTGAGGCGATAGGATTAACTATTAGCAGGTACTAGATGATGGCATGAAGCACTATTCTCTGGCTAACATGGTGCAATCTACTGACTAATACCTTTTCCTAGTGGGTTATATGCCACTTCTTATATGGTTCTTCATTCATGAGGCATTATTGCATTGTGGGTCTTAATGTCTTTACTCTCTAAAAGGAATCTTATCACTTGTAGAAAGGCCTCACTGTGGTGCCACTATTTTTTCATTTTGATATTTTTAGTTAAATGTAGATGCTTTGTGAAATCTCTTTGGTTTAGAAGGTTACGCCATGTGTTAGATATGAGTCCTTAGAGTTTTGTTTGAGTGGAATCTTGGCTCTTCTATAGAGCTGTTGGCCATTGCTTCGTGATCATGATATTACGGGTTCAAGATGTGGCAACAGCCTCTTATACAAATATAAGGTAAGGCTCTCTACATGTGACCTTAAAATCCCAACCTTCCCTAGGACTTGCATAGCAGGAAGTATTACACTATTTACAGCTCTTTTTGTATTTATAAGTGGACCGTTCTGACCATTTATTTTGAATTGTATACTGAATACTCAACACATGCATACATAAAACATGGGTTCAAGAGTAAGAATCAATGGGTACACTTTTAGGCTTTTAGCTCCTTTTATTTTTCATTTCCCTTCCCTGAGTTATGAGAATCATATTTGCATTTATTCAATGCTCGAAGTCTGTAAAGACTCGAAGTCTGTGTAGACTGTAGTGTGTACTACTTGAAGACTATGAAGCAGTTCCTTACAATTTCTGTGTGCAGGCTTTTTGTGATGGTTTAAAGGTCAATAAGGTCTCCCATAATGCTGACTTTTTTGAGATGGGCGGTAATTCTATCTCTGCTGCATATGTATCTTACACTTTAGGAATCAACATGAAGGAGTTGTATACTTTTCCAACACCAGAGAGGCTTCAGCTAGCACTTCTAAGAAACAAGGTTTCATTCAATCATGGTCTTGGATCAGGTTCTTCAAAAGCAGGGAATTATGAAGGGCCAAGTAATAGTAAGATTTTTTCTGCAGATTCAAAGGAACACAGTCATAATAGAAAGATACCGCTTAGAGGACATCCTTTTAAACGCATGAAGATGGATTCAGATTTGTACATTGGATCTAATAATGTTGGTGCAAGAGATTCCTATTCGAGCTTTGATCTTATCAAGTGCTCATTTAGCCGATGCAATCATGTGAAACATGTAGAACAATGTGAGGGGTGTGAATGCTATAGTATGCACACACAGGAATTTCCAATTGATGGAAAATTTTCAATACGAGAGTGCTGGAAAGTTCACATGGAATCTTGTGTGGATGCTTCACCACTAGTTGTGCATAGAAAACGTGATGTGTACGTGTTTATAGGGTCTCACTCCCACAAGTTCGTTTGCATAGATGCCAAAAGGTAGGAATGATTTGGATGACTTTAGTTGAAATGATCAAGTTATCATCTTTTTCCTACATTCAGAATTAGATTTTTCATCAGATTGAGCTTATCTATCATCAGTAAGAGCGGAATATCAGTAAGATAAAATTCGATCTGATAAGCTTGAGTAGTGAAGTATTGATTCCAAATAAACCAGTACTTGAATGTAAGCGTAACTGGGTATTTAAAACTATTTTCTCAACTCTCAAGACACTAAAATGACTTGGACTCTGGTATTTACCCATGAAAGCTGCACTGTAAGAAGAGGGCAACATCTTAACATGTTGATGACCTACAAATTAGCAAGATGATACCAAAACTACTGCACTTAGAGTATGGTATGATTGACACTTAGCCAAGTTCACGTGGCTCTGTACTCATATCAGTATCGCCCGCTTAGTTCCAACTATGTAGGGATCAGTAACCTGAAATCTGTAGTGTCAATTAGTTTAGTAGTCTAAGATCAGTCATACTATGAACTTAAGCAATAAAATAAAATAAAAAGTGGAAAATTGTGACGCCGAATGCCCTTCACGTTGTAACCATCTTACCAAAGAATGATGAAATAAAATTTCAAAACCACCTTTATCATAATCTTTTGCATTTGTATGGCAAATATAAGGAGATGATATGATGACTTGAGATAAAAGCAATAGCCATGCCCCATTACATGATTGATTTTGAAAAATTAATAATTCATATCATGGTACATGGCTATTGGCTTGTTTCACATATGAGGCTTCTAAATTGTTCATTGCTATGATTACATACTTATGTTTTTTGCTTAAACTAGTTTCTCTTACTTACCAGTGTCTAGTATGATGTTCAATTTATCACTGCAATCACCATCATCCTAATTCCAACTACATTGGGTTTGATGGCATAAATGTATAGTGCCAAATTTGCCAATTAACAATCTAAAAACACTAAAATTTCTTAACACTGATTCCACGCAAAAAGTCATATCAGCAAAGTTTTAAGTCGACTGTCCTTCTGGTCACAACCTTCTAAAGAAGAAACATTGAGATGAGATTCCAAAACCATTGTTATCATTGGTGTTTTTACTTGCACAAAAATAATGAGACGGTGATGAGATGAGATAGTTGCAACAGTAATGCCTTATTGAAGAATTGATGTAGAATAGATGTCTACATCATGGAATGTGACTGTATAGTGTTAAGGTTACATGTTAAGTATTTCCGGAATATATTTTGTATAATCAGTTTCTGAATTATTTGGTCCAAAATACCAGGTTACTATTTAGTTTGAATTCTGATTGTTAACAGTTAAAAGAAAGAAAATGCTCTTTTATTCTTTAATATCTCTTTGAATTTGAAAAGAACCTAGAATTATATAGTATTTTTTCCTTGCAAAAAGATAAAACCAATTGTATATTTTTTAATAGTAAAATTTTCTGTGATCTGCATAGCGGTATTGTTCAATGGATGGTCAAATTACGAGGAAGAGTTGAATGCTCAGCCGCAATTGTTGGTGATTTTTCTCAGGTTTTGACATTTGCCTCGATTTCATCATTGTCTAATTTCAAACATGCCATTCTACAGCTTCCCATTAACTAACATGGTTTACATACTTAATTCTGCAGGTGGTTGTGGGTTGTTATGAGGGGAATATTTATTTTCTGAATTTTTTAAATGGCAGCACCCATTGGAGTTACCAAACTTATGGAGAGGTATGAATAGGCCATGAGTCCATGACTTCTATTTTCATGCATGCATATGGTATGCGCTCTGCTTATATTTCTTCATTTAAGAATTCAAAATGATTTGACAGTCACAAAACCTGCTGATATATTTGTTACTCATAAAAGATTTAGCTGTACAATGAGATGGCATGTCATTATTTTCTTCATTTTCAATTTTGAGGATTGGTGATTCAGGCAGATGGTACATGTTACTGTCTTTTGATACTTGTTCGGTACTTTGATTGTAGATTTTTAGGTGTAAGGCTTTTGTAAGAAATGTGAATCTGGTTGCCACATTTTTGTCACCCAAATTTACTCTCACTTTGTTTTATTGATTTAAATAGTTTTATTGCTCAGTATATCAGCAATCTAATTTTCTGAAATCCTCTTTTTGGTTTTGGATCCAAATTTTGAAAGGTCAAATCACAGCCAGTGGTTGACAAATCCAGGCACCTGGTCTGGTAAGATTTCATTTCCTTCTATTTTTGTTATTGTACAGTCAATTTTCTTCATAATTGGAATAATTATATTTCTTGGATCTATTTGGGTCTGTTCTGGACTTAGAAAATAATAAGGAAAGAAATCAGGAAAGAAAATATGTGCGAATTTTGGAAAGAAATGAAAAATGGGGTGAGGATAAAACGTTGCTCCAAATGGAACAAGTTTTTTGATATTTTTCTTAAAGTTTTTCATATGGTGTGTTGGATGATATCGCAACCAAAAGGAAAAGAAAGATAAAAAAGTTAAAAAGATAAGCTATGTTAAAAAAAGATAATATAAAAAGAGATGGATATTCATAAAAGTGATAGAATAAAATGGATAAAAATAATATATATATATATATATATATAAAGATAAAAGGATAAAAAACAAGAAAGAAATAAAAGATGAGGGGGTCATACAATTTAAATTTATTAAAAGGACTTCTTAAGTTTTTTAGCAGGACTACTTAAGAAGGTAATACTTACGGTCATACTCTGCTCTCGTATGTTATTCTTCTTGATGAGTTTTATTCCTCTTATCTAGCAAAAAAATGGTATGCAGGTGTGGGTCACACGACCACAACCTATATGCTCTGGACTACGAAAACTATTGCTGTGTTTTCAAAATATCATGTGGTGGAAGCATATTTGGCTCCCCTGCAATTGATGAGGTGGGGGTTTGATTACTATTAATAGTAAATGCATTTATTTGTGTACTATTTAATTGACTCTGTTAAGCGAGTGAGCAAGGCTGTGAACTAAAGTATTTATGATTTATTTTTTTGTTCACGGATTGCACTTTTAACTGTGTTCCATCTCTGTATAGATGCAAGGAAAACTTTATGTGGCATCAACAAGTGGCCGGCTCACTGCAGTATCTCAGGAGGTGCTTTTCATTTTGTATCTATCTCATACTATCTTCAAGTTGATTTGATCAGTCAGCTTGGTGTAGTATCTAAGTAATTCTTTACCATGCAGGCTCAACTATATTGTGTGCTATGGATAAAAGATCTGGGAGCCCCTGTTTTTGGGCCGCTTTCCATAAACACGTCTTGTGGAATAGGTAAGTTTTGTCATGTGATCCTTATTTCTGGGTTTGTAAATTGTAATGGCAATTTTAGTCAGATTTGAAACAGTAAGCATCTATGGGTGTTCCAGTAAAGTAGGCTCACAGAGTTTATGTAATTTCATTTCAGAATGTCAAGTAGATATTTATTTATCTTAATTGTGGTGTTTTAGTGATATGCTGCTTAGTTGATGGAAGTGTACTTGCTCTGGACGTGAGAGGATCAATTGTTTGGAAGGTATTTTGTCCCTTTTTCAAGTAACATATGTGCTTTGACTTTGTGAGTAATTTATAATTTTCTTGAAGAATTGAAATTTGGTGAATTGCGAATAACCCATTCATGTCCATTTACAATGTTACCACAGGGATTTTTGCTTCTAATATCTACTCCCTCCGTCCCGCTATGATTGTCCCATTTTACCATTTCGGTCCGTCCCACTAAGATTGTCCCATACCTTATTTGGTAAAGTTTGTGTGGTTCTAAATCATTCCTACTTTATTCTTACTTTATCAATTCAATACCAACCACATAAACCCACTTTTATTAATAACCGTGCCACCTTCTTTTGTCCCAAACTTAAGGGGACGGAGGTAGTAGTACTTATGCTAGACATTTGCTTTGTTTTGGTGCATTTGGAATTTCGGAAAATGCATTTTGGATTCCTAACTGCGATACATGGATTTCCATCATTTGCAATAGAGCAAAAGATTCATTATTTTTTTGGCTTGAGAATATGATGGAATAAAGCAAAATGACTCACTAAACTGTCTGTGCTTCTTTGTTATGAAGCAGCAGTCAGTCCATGCAATTTTGGACGCGATTTTCACTATGGGTCATCCGGAAAAAGTCTCTATGTGCTTTAGTACAGGGGTAAGACTGCGTACATCCGACCCCCCCTTACCCCACCGTAGGTGGGAGCCTTTGCGGCACTGGGGTAAATGAAAATAAAAAAATGAACTGCGGTACATGGACTGATTAAGACCGTTCTTTAACTCATGACTAATCAATGCTATGATAAAACATTTTCATCCCTTTAAAAGAGACCAGCTATGTGGTGCATTGATTATTGAAATGCATTCTTTTTATTCAACACTCTATGTGGCTTATTGGATCTTTTGGATTTTGACATTTAGAAATTGTGTATAATGTATTCTATACCATTTTAGTCATTATAGCTTTACAGCTTTTCTCCATCCTAATTTTTTTATAAAGGTTTGTGTTCATTTCTTTGACTTTTCTTCAACCAGTGGTATTTGTAAGACACCCTTTCATTATGAATCAGGGAAGAACAGGAGGTCCAATATTTGCGGGACCATGCATGTCGCATTCATTGACATCTCAGGTCTTTCATGTAGTTTCTTTGAATATCCAAGTTGGCAAGTTCACTACTATACATGTGGATTTGTTAATGCAGCACTTCAAATTAGCATGCTTCTTGTGTAACTAAAAGAGCAATATCTTGATAGGTGCTTGTTTGTTCAAGAGATGGATGCATCTATTCATTTAACTTGGTATGCTTGGTTACCTTATGGAGTTATGATTTTCCCTTTCCTTGGCTGTTTCTGTTTCTGGAGATGGAAATGTGTTGGGTTGAGAGATAAGCCTCTCATAAGTGTAGCAGAGACAGGGTTAAGCTGTTCACTTTTAAATTTTTAATTTTTGTGCATGCATTTGATATAGCATTTTAAGTAATACGTAGTATGATTTTTTGGGAATAAAGTAATACATAGGGTTGCAAACGAATCGAATCGAATACTTGACAATATTATTCGTATTCGTATAATTATCGAATATTCGTATTCGTTTAATATTCAAATATTATTTTATATTCGTATTCGATTCGTTTGGTATATTCAAATATATTCGAATATTGTTCGTATACTATTCGAATATTCGTATTCGAAAAACATCAAAATTCAATTATGAAAATAATTAAAATTATAACGTATAATTTGCCCCTTTTACCTCATTTTGATAGTACATGTTTCTACAAGTCGCTTCTTGAAATATAATATCAGTATAAATAAATCAACCGCGAATTATAAATTTATAACTAAAATAAGATATTTTGACTTAGCAAAGTAAGAACATTTAAACTAAAACATGCAAAATACCTACTAGTTTTTGTACATAAATATTATGTCATTAATATTTTTACATTGAATTATATTTATTTATAAGGAGTAATATATATTGCATGAATATATATATTCGAATATTGTTCGAATAGAATATCATAGTATTTGTATTCGTATTCGTATTCGAAAACTATTCGAATAAAAAAACAAATTTATATTCGTATTCGTATTCTTCTTACTCAAATTCGAATACACATTTTCGAATTTGAATCTCGAATCGAATCAAAATTATTCGATTCGTTTACAACCCTAGTAATACGTAGTATGTTAGACACTAATAAATGGTAGGGGAAGGATATAAAACACAGATTTTTTCTTTTCATTTTTTGACTCTAGGGGGTCTAGGGGAGGGGGCCTGGGGGGCCTGGAGTAATCAGGCTGAAACTCACTCCATTGAGTTTCAAACCCGGGACCTCCCGTAAGGGAGAGTGAGTCGGTGACCTCCCGTAATATGGGTTTTCAGTGTTTGGTTTTACCCTGGAAAATGCAAAAAGAATTAAAATTTGATAAATAAAACTAAAAGTGTTACTGTGTTACCTATATTTAGATTTCGTAGTCGTTGTATCATAATAGAAATATTTCATTAAAATTAATATGAATGAAGATCTAAAATTGATATGCTGAGTTTGAACTTTTTTTATCCTCCCACAATTCATTTCCTTCAATATTTCGTCTGTTTTCCTTCCTTTTTTTATATTACTTTTCCCAAGTTCCAAACTGACCCTTAATAATGTGGCAGGAAAACGGGAAATTGCTCTGGAAACACAGCGTTGAAGATCCCATCACTGCATCAGCATATATCGACGAGCACTTGCTACTGACACATGATTGCCAAACCCTGCCGCGGAGGTGAATCTGTAGTTTCAATTTTCAATTGCTTCTAAAAGTCGATATATAGGAGAAAAGTAGCTAAAAGATCAGTAATGGCATATATGGCTTTACATTTTACAGGTTCATCTGTGTATGCACGAGTTCTGGAAGTATTCATGTGCTTCAAGTTGACTCAGATCGTAATGAGGCAGCAAGAAAGTCGTCCGGGGGAAATATGATCCAGGAATTTGCTAAATTGAAACTTGAAGGTGAAATCTTCTCTTCCCCTGTGATGATTGGCGGAAGCATATTTGTTGGATGCCGGGATGATTACTTCCACTGCTTAAAGCTCGAGATACAAGTTCCCAATTGAAAACCAAAGTCAATGCCTTTCTTATCATATGCACACGGTAACACATTACCGATTCTTTTTCAACTTTTAGTGTGTGTTTGGTTGGAATACTGGGGGGGGGGGGGGGGGGTGTTCTTGTCGAGCAGGGGAGATCGGGGAAATTTGGGTGTGGTTTTTCCTTCAGTAACTCTTTATCTTATTTGTTATCTCAAAATAGTTCTACAATTTTATATCGTGACGAAGTATATTTTAATTTAAATTAGAACCTATTTTTCTTAAACACCAATTCCCCTCAGACTTGCATATCGTTTTTCTGAAATAAAATAACTTATTTATTCGTTTAATGATACTACGTAGTAAAGAAACAAGTAATGAATAATTTAAGATTACAATGGAATGAGACAAAGAACAGAAATGACACCACGTATCTTTCTAGATCGCTTTAGTGTAATAATCTTTTTGCACTTGCTATTCCAAAAATAAAAAATACAAATCTTTGTCTTCACTAGCCACCAGAAAGAAGCCACTAGTAAGGGAGAATCGATTTGACCAACAATAAACAAAGGAAATTCTACTGAGCAAGTGTTTGAATCGGTTTGACCAACCACTAAAAAGGAGATCCAACAGAGTGGCTATCCTTCTCCTGAAGTGACGAGGGTGGTTCACAAGGAAGGCGAGTAATTGAGACCTCAAAAATACTAGGTTGAACAAGACATGCCAACTATGAAGAGTGGAAATTCACCTTTCCATCGATTACGTTGACGAGACACACACCACTTCTAGATATCTCTAAGGCCTTGTTTGGTTCAAAGGAGGGGAGGGAAGAGTCAAGGAGGGAAGGGGAAGGGGAAGGAAGGATTTTGATAAAAATTTGTGTTTGGTTGGAGGAAATAGGAGGAAGGGTGAAAATATTTTCCTAATTTACCTTTATTTGGTAGCTTACTTAAAAAAATAGATACATCTCTAACTATTGTGAATATTACTTCTAAGGTAATAAGTCATAATATATATTTTTTTTGAATTTTTGATTTTTTACATTTTAAATTTTTAATTTTTTATTTTAGAATTTTTCATTTTTGAATTTTAGAATTTTCAATTATTGAATTTTTCAATTTTTGAATTTTTCAATTATCAATTTTTTATTTTTTTAATTTTTTTAATTTTAATTTTTTTAATTTTAATTTTTGAATTTTTAAAATTTTTTAATTTTTTTTTTACCTTTTTTATATTATAACGCTTGATCCATTCACGTTGAAGATGGATAGTTTGTGGTTATCAACACGACACCTCTGAAATACCCCGATTTGGGGGTTGAGAATGGGAGGAAGTGAGAAAGTGGAGGATTTTGGAAGCCTTCGACTTTCCTCCCCTTCCCCCCTATTTCCTTCAACCAAACACACACAAACCACTCACTTTCCTCTCTGAAACCCTCCAACCAAACAGGGACTAAAAGAACATATCTCACATTCATCTGGACTCTGAAGTGGATACAGGATAAAACTCTTGGTCAAAGATGAAGTCAGACCAAAATCAGAACCGACAATATTGTTATTTATAACTCTGCTTTCCTAACATAAGTTATCCTTGTTTCTCCTTCCTTGCATTCCCAACCCAACAGCGACTGCTCCGGCAAGGGACCTAGGACTTTTGTTGTCATTGACACGTCAAGCTGCACAACTTATTTTATAGTTTATACTCCGTATTGCATCACTACTTGATTTTCAGATGTATTTTTCTTTTCTCCTTCTTGGTAGAGTTGAGTCCAATGAGGTACGAAGAAAATAAGGTTGAATTTGGGAGGGGATCAGCGTCGACTTGATATATGTATATGAGTCTTTCTTCGTGTATGTTCACCAGAGGGTTAATAAAGCCGCACTCAACTGCACACCTTTACGGCTTTACTCCCAATTTATGCAAGTATGCATTAACCATACAAAAAGTATAAAATAATTCATTTGAGGTAATTACCGGTATAAGAATAATTAAGAAGATGGACAATTGAAAGAACCAAATTAAAAAAATTGAAAGTAAAGTGAAAGAAACAAAATCAAAATCCGGTCTAAATATCAAAGAACGAATCATTAAAATCCAAAGTGGCTAATTTTGAAAATTTTTCAAATCCAAATTTGGATCTAAATTTGAAAAGGTGAACAATAAAAAGTCCAAATTGGTTGATGTTAAAAGTTTAAAATGCTCTGAAATCTAAATGAAACTGATTAACGGCTTAATGCTCGTAAAAGTGAAAATTGAAAATTCAAGCTAACATTGAAAAATGGAAGGGTTTGAGAGTAAAAGTGGTACATGTGTTTTTGGGTTTAATGCACCAAACCCCTAGTGAAATAAAAATTCGACGCATTAGCTCCTGTGATTTAAAAAATGCGTCAAACCCCCTCTAAGAACAAATTTAATTTCCAAAAAAATGAAAAATGGTTAGTTTTTTTTTGTACTACCTCCGTCCCTCAAAGTTTGTCACATTTTGACTTTTTCAGTCAAACTTGTTAAACTTTCGCTAATTACTCAAAATTAATTATATTTTATCCCAAAAAATTATTTAATGTGATTCTTTGTAATATGTATTATTCAAATGTCAATTTATTATAGATTTTATAGGTATATATTAATAGATAATTATTGTCAAACGTCTACCTAGAAGACCGCAAAAGTCAAAGTGTGACAAACTTTGAGGGACGGAGGGAGTATAATTTAGAAATTTTGACAAAGTTACTTGCATATTCAACCATATTATTAAAAAAAGCGATTTCAAAATTTTAAAATTTATTCTTGGAGGGGGTTTTGCGCATGATTAATAATAACACAGGGGGTTTGACGCATTTTTTAAATCACAGGGGGCTAATGCGCCAAATTTCTATTTCATGAGGGGGTTTGGTGCATTAAACCCTGTGTTTTTTGGGATTTCATTGGACTTCCTTCTGCAGCGTCCATAACTCCATATACGGAGTATGTTTCTAATGTCCATGTTTTTGGCAATTTTTTCTCTTTTATTTATGGGTATTTAAGTGTTTTTCTCCCTCACGAGCTACGTACATGCCTTCATGCGGTTTTTGCACCATGTATGCAATGCATACTATTTCCTTATTATTTATGTTCTGGTTTTCCAAAATACGCAGAATTCAAACACAATCATTTTATTAACCTACTCTACACATCTCGCCTATACGTATGGCACATTTTAATAGCACTCAAACCATTCTGCTCATCATATTTTATTTATTGTACTCATCATATGACATGCATATCACTCGTATCATAATTTTATTAATGTAACGTGCAAATATCTACTATATCAAATGCATATATATGGTATAAAGTTGGGGAAATGGTCCCAAATAGGACTATGACTTAGTTAATATACCTAAATAGGAGTTCAATGATTTTTATACCTAAATAGGACTAAATTTTCCGTGCCTCCCTAAATTACCCCTGCATCCCAACACTTCAGAGAATGGTCGCGGAATATAGCTCGCTGCAATTCACCACCCATCTACCGATGTCCTCTGGAGAAGGTGAACAGGAGAAGAATGGGAGCAATCGTAGAAGATGAAGAACTGGAGAAGAAGCTGCACACTTTGAAAATAATTAGATCGACGATGAAGAAGAGACGATGGACAACGAGGAAGGTGCCGTCGGCGCCGGTGAAGATATTGCAGATCCGTTCTTTTTCCACTCCTCCTCTTTTTTCCCTCCTCTTGTTTTCTTCCATCGCCGCTCTTTTTTCTTTCTGCTACAGTGCTACTTCTTTCATCCGCCTCTGTTCTGTTATTTTCTTTTTTTCTTCCGCTTTGTTTTTGCTTTTGGGTGCTCGTGATTCCATTTTGTTTGGTTTTTAAATGTTTTTTTTCAACTTGCTTTTCGAAATAGTCATGCCAGTAACAACATGTATTTGTTTTACTAGATTTACTTCCTGGTGAAGCTTCTCTTTACTACTCGTAATTGTTTTGTTCTGTTTTACGAAGTACTAAATTTCCTTTTCGAAATAGTAGAATGCAAAAGCCAAAGGAGTGTTGCTAGAAACTCCAGCTAAGACTCACAATGATGCTCCCCATTGAAGAGCCCAATATTTCTTTTATATGGATTGACATTGTTATTAACACTATTATAATGTTCTTTTTATAGCATTGTCATTGCATGTTGTCATTGTCACGACAATTCACATGTTTTGACAATGAAATTGTCATAAAAAGACGTTGTGATATAATGACATAATAATACATTATTTTTCCATAAAAAATATATTTTATAGCTTTGACATTAGTTTCAACAATGTCATTTCCATAATGATTGACATTCTTATGACATTATCATTCTCATTCTTATGGCATTGTTATTGACATTGTCATCGTGATTATTTGGCATTACTACATTTTTTCGACGTTGGGACTTTTTCTATAAAATTAACGTTGTCATAATAGCTATTAATATTGTCATAATTACAATTACAATGTTATTTTATAGCATCGACAATGGCATTGCCATTGTGACATTTTCTTGACCTGGTGACATTTTATACATCGACATTGTCAAGATAACAATGACACTGGGGTAGACATTGTCATTATCACAATGTCACTTTTGTAATGTTGACATTGCCATTGTCGTTTTTATGTTGTGACATTGTGTCATTATAAACATTCAATTAAGTACCTAAACTTAAAAAAACTCAAATCAATGCAATAGAAGGTAAGCAACATGTTTCAAACTCAAAGTGAGTTTGAATAGGTGGCAAGTGGAATTCATTGTCAACATGGGAAATACTCTAGTCTTTTTTTACTTAGCAGCCCCAAAACTCCTATCCGATATTTTTCCAATATGACACTTTTATAGCCCCAAAACTCCTATCCGATATTTTTCCAATATGACACTTTTATTACTCCGTATTTCATTGTCAATTGATAATAATTTCCAAATTAATGAATGGATCCAGAATATTACTTACATTAAATGAATCTGCAAATTAATGAATGGATCCAGATATTTTTTTTCAACATCGTCATAATAATTATTGGCATTGTCATATCGTGCTTAATTGACATTACAACATTATATTTTTTTCAACATTGTGACTTTTTTTATAGAATTAACATTGTCATAATAATTATTGACATTGTCATATTTACAATGTCATTTTATAGCATTGACATTGTCATTGTGACATTTTCTTGACCTAGTGTCATTTTTATACATTGACATTTTTATGACATTGTCATTGTCATTGACATTTTCATAACATTGTCATTGTAATTACATGACATCATAACATTGTCATTGTAATTACATGACCACTTGTTCCTCAAATTTAAATGTTACTAGCATTTCTCAAATCTTAAATTTAACCAATATCCTAAATTGAGTGGAGTCCTTGGTGGGGTCCTGTGGGGACGTGGGGTAAATTGGATCATTCTTTTAGATTTTTAACCTAAATCCGAATTTGGTTGGTTCTAGTATTTGCCATTCAAGTGGTGAAAGAAGTCAAAGAACTGTGTAGAAATTACTCAATAAGCATTAAATTAAAAATGCTATAATATGTCACTCCTCAATCATACGGAGTATTAAACTATTTGCCTTATTTTTTTGGTTTCTCTTTTAGCTTTATCCAACGTGCGCACAACAACGCTCATATCGCCCGACCTTCGTTTTTTTACTTGGCGGTTTAATTAGAATAAGGTACAGGAATGTTGGATCAAATTTAACAGAGACTTGTCAATTAACAAGGTTGGCCGATGATTCGAGAACCACTGGCTGGCGTCGGATTTAGGTCGCGGGAGGTGTAGTAGCTGGTCACTGCAGGTCCGACAACGGAGATCGCCAGAAGTTTAATAGCGGCATGGCTGAGGTCCGATGTTTGTTGGTAGGAGTGCAGCTGTTTCTGTCTGCAAAGTGTAGCTGGTGTGGCGTACCCGATAAATAGGAAGGGTATTTTTGTCTCTTAAAGGAAAATTAGTCCTATATGTGGATTAAAAAAGTTAAACTCCTATTTACCTTTCGCGGGCATGTTTTAGTCCTATACTATGTTATACGTAGTATTATAAATGACATTCGAAGAATATTATCAATTTTCAAGTTGTGCCTTCAAATATACTTATTCTACATCACTTAATTTGTTATGACGTTATGTACATCTCCAGTATATGTTGTTGGAACGTATTGTTTTGTTGATGACAAACGACTAGTGTTACTTTTGGTTGTAAGTGACTACATGAAAAGAGTTTAAGTCGTGCTCTGGAACAAGCCGTAGAACTGGTCCGAGAACTGCACCGTAAATCCAAGATTGATTAATCCGGCTTGCTTAAAATATCTTTTCTCTCCATTTAATTTCGGATCTATCTTGCTAAATTAAAGAGAACCTTTTAAGCAAGAAAATAATCAATGATCATACAAAGAAAGGATTTTTTCTTTAAAGGAAAGTTATTTAAATCAAAGGCATTAATTAAGAGATATTTCTACAAAGCAAGTTTCCAAAATAATTGTTGTTATTCAAAATTCAAAAAGGATTTTCGTGCATATCTTCTCACAAGGAATGTTTCCTTAAGAAAAATGATTTCCTTCAATCAAATAAAAAGAATATCTTTTAATACCTATAAGGAAATATTTTTGAATGATTTCCATGCACATCAAGTCCTGATCTTGCCCATCTAAGAAGACCGATCTCAAAGGAAAGAATCTGTTGAGTATGTAGTTTTATTAATGACTAACTATGCAGGTGGAACAGCGGACGGAACCGCTCTCAGTTCCATACGGAACGGAAGACAAAATTATTCTTAATTGTATTCTGTGTGAACGGTTGATTTACATGGTGTATGATTTAATTAATATGTGCTTTCCTTATATGAGTGCTTATACTTTGTCAAGAATATTATTTTAAGCAAAAATATATTTTCATGCATGATTTATTATTATAGCTTATTATTTTATGGAAAGAATCCTTAATTGATTAGCTAGTTGATTGTGCATACCTATTTAACAAATATTCTCCTGCATATTATTTGAAATATGATCCGTTGCATGCTTGCATAGTTTAAGTGAATAAATAACTTCCCTTGATATGTATTGATATATATCTTTGTGGAATTATTACTAAATGGTTGATCACATAATATGCTCTATACCTTTTTGACTTGCTCATGGTATGCACGTATCCTCCTGCTCCCATATATATGGTTGACCAAGGACCATCATAATTAAGAGCTAGAAGATCCTTAAATAAAAGGAAAGCATTTTGAATAATTTCAAGGCAAGTTCCTCAACCATTCAAGGAAAGAAGTGTCTCAACGGATCCATTCCTAGTAGACTATATAATCGAGATCAAGAAGAAGAAGCAGGGTGTGCTTGACCGAGAAAATATCAAGAGAGATACTCGAGAGAAATACAAAGTTCAAGGCACCTGAAACTGCTCCCGGAGTTCTAGACAGAGTTCTTATTCTCTTCCTATATTGTAATTGGGTTATTGAGGATTAGCTAAGTGTAGCTTCCTCGGGTTGGGTAACGTGTGTTGTGAGAGCTTTGTTGTAAAGCTGAGAGGCTCTCTACCCGCAAGGTAGAGAAGCGTAACTCTTCCTAGAGAGGATAGAGTTGGGGTGGCTCAAGGGTAGACTAGGAGAGTTTCCCTTGTAATCATTCAAAGGCTTTTTAGTGAAGTTGTTAAAATTCCTCCGAGGGAGGTCGAGGTTTTTTAATCCCTTTGAGCCAAGGGATTTTTCCTCGTTAAATCCTTGTGCACTTTACTATTTCGCAATACCCTTCACCCCGCACTAGAACTGGGCGAAAAACTGCCACGGTTCCACACACACAATTCACCCCCCCTCTTGTGTTGCTAACCGTTTTCATCATATGTAATGCACATGAAATATGATAAACAGTTGTTGCAGAAATGGGATATATATCTTGAGTGGGACTGCATGTGGGAGCCCTCCGACTAAATCACACCCCAATGCTTAAGTTTCTTTTCTTATAGGAGCTTTTAAGTTCAAGTTACCAATGCAAATAATGATCATTTAGCCTTCATGGCTTATTGAAGTGTCATCTTAATTGGTATTTTGTCTCGTCTCAAACGACGACAATAAGGGCGTTCGCTTCTTGTAAACAATCTGAAAGCTAAGTGTTGATAAACCAGTGGCGGTTCTCCAGAGATGCAATGTACATTTGAGGGTGATTACTTATTTGATGAGGTACACAAATGGGATTGGTATTTTGAAGCCATGAAGGGTTTCTCCAATGACTAGTGATTTGCTCTTTTAGTGGTTACTGGTGGGTTCTTGAGAGTCTAGAATTGGCGAAGTCGAGATCACATGCTATTAAACAAAAAAAAAACTTTACATGCACTGAATTGCACTGAACATTACCTATTATTGTAACTATTCTAGGTATGCAATAATGCAGTTTACTTATTCCCAACCATCCAAATTAAACCTCCTTTTCTATCCGGAAACTACCTATATATTGGAATTTGGAAGAGAGAAAAATGTCTTCAAATTATGTATGGTATTGCTTATAAAGTTTTCTGGTAGATACAAATACAAAGACATTCACCGCAAGTACTCTGTACATGTCAATTATCCCCACATTTTTCTAGCGCTGTGCTGCTACCTAATTACTCCGTATTACATAGAAACATTGCCTGGCCTTTTAAAAACACTTCGGTTGCAATTAGAGGATGGTAGTTTCAATTTCTACAATTATAGACACCCAATAGAATAAATCAATAGTTATATCTCTGATAGGACTCTTTTCTTTCATAATTTTATTTTTATTTTTTTGAAAAGTAGTCACTTACTTTTTTATAAATTTTCTACTTAGGTTGGTTCAATAATTCCTTTTAATATAAGCTCGTTATCATGTTCATTGGTCCAGTATACACATTACAATTCGTAGTGGCATAATTTATTTATAATTAATTAATAACAATTATGTACTTTTGATACGACACATTAGTATCATTAGCTAGGGAGTTGTGCGGTTGGTATAACCACTTTGCTAATGATCCAATAATGATATTGTTTTCTTCCTATATATCCATTATTTAAGCAACCTAATCTCCTCAACATTTCTCATCATTATAAGATGGGAAGGGCATTGCTCAAATAATAAACAATGCATGACAACTGTCAAGAAAATATAATGAGCTCGTTTTGCATTAGATGTTTATTTAAGGCATAAACACATCATATTCAAAGTCTTGGCTCATCTATTTAAGATTTTAAGGTCGTCAAATCGCCAACACTCCGTAGTACGTGTAATACTTATCGAGACGATCGATTTATATAAAATTTGAGTTATGAAAAAGAAAAATACTTATGCGAAACCTACAAGCAAACTATATCATAATATCAATAGTTTTCTGTACATGTGGAAAGTTTGTTTTGTAATGAATTAATGATGACTGTACATATGTCTCCAAGGCCATAAGCTGCAAGCCAAAAGCCGTTTGGGATAGACTTGATTTTAAGAATGAATACACTGAAGAGAAAAAAAAAATTAAAACATAAGTAAACATAAGCATCGGATAGAAGAAGAAAAAATATCTTAAGTAGCATTGTGGCAACACGTTTTTATATTTATTTAACAAAGAGCACATTGGAAGTTGGAACTATATTTGAAAAAAATTGTAAATTTTTAGATGAAAAACCATTTTTATTATAAATATAATCAGCCTTTTGTTACACAAAGCATTAGAAAAGAATAATAAATATAATTAGTCTTTTATGTGTGTACACGAAGTGTAAGAGTGCGTAAGCAAAGGATTTTTCATTTGACAATAACTAACCCCGTGCAAACTGTTTTAGTTACCTAGCTAGCCACATGTAGTGAAACCCATAGAACAGATTACCAAGTTTATCAATGGGCCAGGTCTGAATGACTGGTTCGTAACATAGTGTTTCAGACTCGGATCCAATAGGTCTAGGAACCGGATCAGGTAGACTCGTCCAATACGAACTAAGAATAAGAGTTCGTAAATCTGCAACCAGACTACCACCGTCACCGCCATCGGAGTTTCGTTGCATGACTGTCACCGCCACCTGACTGCCCGGGTTATGATGGAAAATTATGGGACAATTATTTATAATTAATTATATTACAGGTAGAAATGTAATTTTGTCATGTTTAAGGAAAATAAAACATGTAGTCCTATTTAGAAAATAAGATTATATTTTAATCTTATTTAGAGCAATTTTGTCCTCTTATTCACGTAAGAAAACATATTAAGTCATATTTTAGAACTTTGCCTATCTTTTACTTCTATTATGAGCAATTTCTTATCTCGAATTCGCTAGAAGCGTGGAGTTTCAATTCATCAGCTCCTTGTTAACACTAAGGATTGAGACACCTATATAAGTGTGTGAAATCATATACCCCCCTCCATCCCAATATAAAGAGCACATTTGCTTTTTCAAACACTTTTAGGAAAAACACTGTTTGGACATTGTTTGACACAATTTGAACACTGTTTTGCACTATTTTGTTTGCCAAATAAGGAACGTGTCTTTTATATTTTGACGGCCCGAAAAGAAAAATGTGCCTTTTATATTGGGACGGAGGGAATGTTGGATCTCTTTGCTCAGGCCAATGAATGATTAAAATTGTTTTAAAAATTATATGCAATTAAAAATAGGGATAATTTGAGTTTGCACCTCATTTTATTGTCCAAATTGGACTTTGGACCCCGTTTTTAAAAATCTTTGTTTTTGCACTCCAACTCCGTATAAAAAGACAAAAATGCCTCTCGATCAGGAATATGTTGAAGACCAACAAAATTGTTAATGGAGGATACTCTCTAAAATATTGAGCCCATTTTTTGTATTTTGTAATTCTATTTAGGAATTTAACGGTACAATAGGTCAACAGTACCTTACTTTAATTAATTAACTACGGAGTATTAAAATAATAAAACCACTTGAAATAATAATATGATCTTAATTAAGCAGAAACCCACGCGTTTCCCCTCTCTCTCTCTATGTTGTGTGTGATACTCGTGAAACCAAAATCATATAGCGTCTTAATTCGATCAACGTTCCACCCACAAGGAAATTAAAGCATGTCAATACGTTCGATTTCTCACCCGGCGGCCAAAAGAAGAACACGTCATCTTTTCTTCTTCGTCCTCCTCTCCTGTACGGCGGCGGCGGCGGCGTTTAACGTTAGCCCAACCCCCTTCAACCAAGGCTTCACCACCCTCTACGGCGAATCCAACATCGTGCGTTCGCCCCACCACGACACTGTTAGCCTTCATCTCGATCGTTACACAGGCCTGTACTCCATCATCTTTTATACTCCGCAGTATTATTATTATTATTATTACTACTATTTTTCCTCTCTAATTTATTTAATTTCTTCTCTCAATTAAGCTCGGCCCTAATAATCTCACTTTTCCTTAGCTTATAAACCGCGAAATTAACAAAAATAACGATTAACCCAACTTTTTAGAGATAATGATGTTTGAAATTACTCTCTCTGTATCATACTATATTATCTATCCCATTTATTTTTTAACGTAGTTTAAGATAATAATTACTCTAAATTTTATTAAAAGTTTGAGGTTTTTGTAGTGTAGGTACTGTAGTGATAGATTTATTTTCAAAAACGAAAAAATGAGACAATTAACATGATACATCTAAAAAGGAAACTGACACACTAATTTTGATACAAAAGGGGTATTATTTATGTTAGGTGAAATATTTCTAATTGAAATTGAAGTTCAATAAGTTAAGAAATGAGATAGCAATAAAATAAAATGTACTCCGTACTTTCTTAACGAAAACCAATGCAATTCAATAAAATGGTGTAAAAAATGTGGTACATGTATAAAAATAACATTTTTCTTTCATCAAAGAAAAGATTTTGTTCTCTATAATCAACATATATAATAAAAATATTAATTATATGTATTTGCATCCTGCAGGTTCTGGGTTCAAGTCATCTGATCTATACAACCACGGCTTCTTTAGTGCTAAGATTAAGTTGCCGTCGGAATACACCGCTGGAATCGTCGTCGCCTTCTATGTACGTACGTATATATCCATATAATTAAGTTACGTACTCGCGTAAAAAACTCTAATTCTCTTTATTTAATTCTTTTTAAATAAATAACTATATACTTCGTATATCATCAATAATAATTAATAAATGTGTGGTTCACATGATATGTAATCAACCATGCATGCGTTGTTTAATTAAGGGCATTAATTAATTACTTAACGGAAATTGTCCTAAATAGGAGTAAAAAGGTTTTGAAATTCCAAAATAGGAGTATCGTGTTTTTTATTCACTGAATAAGAGTAATCCTATTTAGAGAATAAAAAACATGCATGATACTCCCATTTTGAAATTTCAAAATGTTTTTACTCCGAATTCTCTCATTACTTAATATTCTGTTTATTAATTAATTACCCTATATAGACAGATAGATGTAATTGGTCATAATAAATAAATGAATGAATATTGAATTGGCTTTAATTAATTAATTAATTAATTAATTATGCATTGATTGATTAGTCATGGTACATTATGCATTGATTAGTAATTAATTTAACTTGATATGGCCGGGGGTGTAGACGACGAACGGGGACGTGTTCGAGAAGACGCACGACGAATTGGACTTGGAGTTTCTGGGGAACGTGAAGGGGAAAGAGTGGAGGTTTCAGACGAATATGTACGGAAACGGGAGCACCAATAGGGGCCGAGAAGAGAGATACTTCCTCTGGTTTGACCCCTCCAAAGACTTCCACCGTTACTCCATTCTATGGACCAACCATACCATCATGTATGTCACTCCATAATATCTTCTTCTTACAGTTTAATTTTGCGGTATTAAACACCTCTGACTTGAAATTTTCTTAATTTGAATTTTGCAATTTTTATACTACTAACAAATAATATATAACAATCATCAAAATTGTGTATTGATAACCGTGAAAATGAAAAATTACAATTAAACATAAACATAATATACACAAATAGGAGTAAAACTTAATTAAAACTTCTTTCAATCGGAGTAACATTAATTTTGTACCATTAAAAAACTTCTTTCAATTGGAGTAAACATTAATTTTGTACCCTTAACATTCCTAACCCAGTTAATTCTTAAATATGACTTATTTGATCCTATTAAAAAATAAATAAATCTAAGTTCATCCCAACCATTAAAAAAGAACAGAATTGAAACGATACCTTAATGTAGGCCTTTTAATTTTAAAAATAATCTAAGTTCATCCCAACCATTAAAAAAGAACAGAATTGAAAAATATATGTAGTTGCCTTCTCATTGCGGTATTATTATTTATCTATAAATAAATAACATATATATTTTCCTAATAAAGCATTGGGTGATATATTCCGTAGTATAATAAGGAAAATGGTGCATTTAATTTGAGACTACGTATCTAATCGAGGATAAGAGTATCTTATGCATTCATTTGTCTAAAATCTCAGCTCCTTTCTGCACTATTTTTAGGAACTATCAACCATTAATTAGTGAATACTGTTTTATTTTTGGCATGAAATTAAAGGACACTTCTGGAGGGTCATCGAAACTATTGAGATTACAATATATTTTTTCCACTTTAGATTATAGCCATTTAAAGCTATTTTTAAAGAAAATCTTGTTGCAATAATAGATAATTCGGGACATGCATTGTGTTGTGGCCGGCCAACTTGCATTGAATTTCGGTGCGATTAGGTTGATGCACATGAAATTGGACCCATTCAATTGCGTGCCAAACGGGTTCTTCTCTAAATATGGGTGCTGACTACGATCCCATAGGCACCATAATAGACCTAATAATAGCGATATGATATGGTCCCCCATCAAGCTTAATTAATTAGTTAATTAACTAATCAATAATTTATTTCATTTCCGGGTTTGGATGTGCATAATTAGTCTCGACCAAAAGTGTCTATTTTAAGTGTCATTTGGTACGTTGTTCTTTCATTTCTTTTGTCCTATCACTCGTTTTCTATTAAACATTAATTAACTTTTTAATTGTGGATGCTGAATTAGCTAACAATGGGAAAGGTATGGTTGATGATGCTCTCTTCAAAGGCAAAAAGTTTGGGTAAAGATGTTTTTAGTAAGGTTATTAAATACAATCATTTATATTTTCTTCACATGTTTATTCATTAAATTTTGAAATCAATGTCTAATTTTCACAATTTAGTAGATCAACCAATTTAACATTTCCTCTTCAAAAAAAACCAATTTAACATTTCAAACATAACTTCATAACTTGATAAATTAAAGTACCATACCTTAATTTGTCCATATAGACCAATTAAAATTTTACAATTAAACAATAGGGTAATTCCCCAAATAGGATTAAATGAAACTTAATTGCTATAATAGGAGTATAAATTTAAAATTACCTAAATAATACTATCGTATTATCTTTCCAATCCTACTGTGCTTTGTTTTAATATAATTTATTTTTCATTAATAATTAAAACATAAAAGTAATAACATAACATTATTTATAATAAAAATACAAAAAGTTTAGAAACATGTAAATAAATATTAAATAAAATCAATAAAAATAAAAAACCAGGAAAATTAAAAGTTTTAAAAAATAAAAATTTAAGAAATTAAAATTAAAAATGTTAAAAATATATAATAATAAAAATATGCATGCCTATACTGCTATCTCAACAACCTTCCAGTACTACCCGCTCTGACCGGCAGGAAAAATGCTCAAAAGTGTCATCTTGATGGCAGTTTCAGCAAAAAAATTAGCATTTTCAAAGGTAAAATGTCATCTTTATGACATATTTCCGAAAAAAACAACGGAATTTTTATATACATAAAATGACATTTTTTGTTGATCGACGGTGGAATTGGTGGGAGGTGGTATAGGGTGTGGGAAAGGCTTCCATATTATTTTTATATTATTTAATTATTTATGTCTTTTATATACATTTTATTTATTTTCAAAGTTTCTTTTAATTCTAGTATTTTGATGTTTTCTAAAAATAAATTTGATTTTTTTAATAATTTGTATTATTTTATTATATTTTATTTTTTTTTATTTTATGTTTTTATTACAAATTAAAATATGATTTTCCTATTAAATTATGGTAAAGATAGAGTAGGAAGATAGAATATGCTTTAGTCCCATTTTGGTATAAATGTAGTCATCTCCATCACATCCTACATTTCACCCTCAAAAAATCATATTTACAACAATTTCGACAACTGAGTGGTGACATTTATATACTTGAGAATTCGAGGATTACACTTCAATATCGATTCAATTTGAGGGATTAAAAGTGTGATTTTCATCTGATTTATAATTAGGTGAATTGACAAAGAATGTGTTAATTTGGCATTTTTTTGAAATGCTATAACTTTTGTTAGAGAATTGATTGTCACAACTTGATTCGTTACGAAATATATCTCTATCCCGTAAAACTTGCCAAATTTCCTTTCTTTGGTCGTTCTAAACAACTAGTCATTTTTATTTAAAGTAAGGAATATGTGGTTATTGTTCTTTTCTATCTCTGCACAAAGATATATTGCGGGTACTATATTTGGTGCATCTGTGCATGTTGTTATGTTTCTCGATTATTCATTATTAATTGCAATTTCAAATCATGATGTCCTTGAGATTGTGAGATGATGATGATGCATGCAGATTTTACATAGACGAAATTCCGATAAGAGAGATTGCGAGAAATGAAGCCATGGGAGGTGACTACCCCCAAAAGCCAATGGGCCTATACGCCACCATATGGGATGCTTCCGATTGGGCTACTTCCGGCGGAAAGTACAGAGTCGATTACAAATACGCCCCATTTGCGGCCCACTTCACCGACCTCGTCCTCCGCGGTTGCGCCGCCGATCCTCTGCAAACTTTTGTCAATGCCGGTTGCGACGAGCATGACGGTCAGCTCGAAGGAGCCGATTTCGCTACCATCACGCCCGATCGAAGGAAGGCCATGAAGAGGTTCAGGAAAAAGTACATGTATTACTCCTACTGCTACGATTCTCTTAGGTATGCCGTACCTCTGCCGGAATGCGTGGTCGATCCGGCGGAGAGGATCCTGTTCAAAGAGACTGGCCGGCTCAAGTTCGAGAAGCGCCACCGCCGACATGGAAGGAGATCCTCAAGGAATGGGGTGTTTGTCCGTAGTAGCAGACAAGATGATGAAAAAAGGGCATTTATTTAGTGAGTTTTGCTAGGTGTATTGCACAAAATGTGTACGCCGTTTTTGTACACTTATCTGTTCCCAACAGACAAATCTAAGTAGTCTGTAACAGACTACTTGTCTGCAGGGGACAGACAAATGTACAAAAACGGCGTACACGTTTTGTGCAATACACCTAGCAAAACTCACATTTTGTGTACACCAAACATTTTTCTCATTTAATAGAGTAATAAATTGAGTTAATGACCTATATAGGACTAAAAGATAACTTATGTGCACAAATAGGACCATAATTCATATCCATGATTTGTAGGACTTAAAACCACTTAACCACGTGCTTGTACACAAATGCCCCTAATCAATTTTTATTTGAATTTATTACGTAGTATTAAAATTGTAAAATTAAAATAAGACAAAACCCTAAAATCTTAATCGTCACAGTTCAACCACCCATGCCACCTGCCGCTGCCGTCATCGGCCACACCTGCCATCACCCCGTCACCGGCGTTGCCTGCCGCCATCACCGCCGCCGCCCTCACCATCACTGCTTGCAACCGCCCTCGCTGTCGCTTCCAACACCAGTGTCACCATCCATCACCATCTGACCAGCGTCACCATTCACCACTGCCACCATACTCTGAGCACTGCCACCACCGTGACAACTCAGACGGAATAAATCTGCCATTAAGTTGGCAGATTTAGGGTTGGGAGTATATTCACATCTGCCATGAACAAGGGTTCCAGACCTGCCAAAGAGTTGGCAGATTTTTCTTGGAATGTTAGCACAAAACTGCCATAAATTTGGAAAAAATTAAAAAACATGAAATAAACAACCAAATATTCAAACATCTACATTTTTTACGGAACAAACACTTTCACAACCGGAAATTACAAAAACGAAGCTATTGACAAGAAAACAGAAAAAACCAATTCATACAAAAGCATTTCTACCATAATATGATTGTCAATATACACATTTCTGCCATAAACTTGGCCAAATCTGAAGCTATCATCCAAAGTTTTTGAAAACCAGATTTTTGTTAAAACTGGGAAATCATAAACCACAAAACCGAAATAGAAGTCTGAAAATTGACAAAATCAATTCCAAATCCAGAAAATCAGAGGAAAATCGGAAAAGAATGATGATGAGGAGGAGGAGGAGGAGAAGGAGGAGGAGAAGAAACCTGAAATTCGGAGCAAAATAAAGACAGTGATGGTGAATAGCGAAGGATGCGAAGGAGACGAAGCCATAGGCAGTGGAGTAGGCAGCGTGGCCGATCTACAAGGAGAAGATGAGATGCCAAACTCTTTGCTTTGGGATCTGGAGAAGGAATAATTCGATCTATGAAAGGAGAAGGGGGGAGAGAGTGCGTAAATGGGTGCATGGGCAAACTTGGGAAGCTAATTTTCGTATCTTTAATAATAGGAGTAAATTGATCTTATTAAGGGAAGAAAACATAATAAGTCATATTTTTGCATTTCATCCTTGTTTTAGTCCTATATGGGGCAATTACTTTAATAAATTACGTAGTACTGCGTATAATATATTGATTGATAGAGTAATCCTTTCCTTTATATACTAGTCTCTCACCCGTGCGTTGCACGGGATAGTAGACTAATCCAAAAGCTAATTGATATAAATTAAATGTTAGTTTTTTTATTCTTGTAAACTTAGCTTGCATCCTTCATTAATATGAGATTGAAACATAACTCCAATTATGATCTAAGATAGACACATGAGCTCTTGCTATTGCGTCATTTTGCACGATTAACAGAACGATTACAAAAGGCGATACTCATATCATTCTTTGTTGAGAAAAGGGTCAAATAAGGCCTTCTACTATTATGAAATAGTCACATAAGGCTGTGTACTCAATAAAGTGTCATATAAGCACCTCTACTTGTAAAAAGCAATCAAATGGGTCCTAATGACCTATTTAACACCTCTTAATTCCGGTTTTAGCGTACTTCTGACCATCTTTTTAGAATAGATTATACGACATCCGTCGAATATTTAACTAAGATTGGTTGAACAAGTCAAAAAATCGACATGTAAGCTAAAACCGGGATTAGGAGGTTGTACATAGATCGTTAGGTCTCATTTGATTGTTTTTTACAAGTAGAAGTACTTATATGACACTTTATTGAGTACATGGCCTTATGTGACTATTTCATAATAGTAGAAGGCCTTATTTGACCCTTTTCTCTTCTTTGTTTGTATAAGGTGTCTCAGTATCATCGATTAGCATGTCAAGATAAGACCCGCTTCTCCCCTTTTTGATTGCTTAAACAACATGAGCACATCAAATTTTTTCTCAACAAAATTCCAAACTTCATTCAACCCTTCCAAGATGGCTTCACAAATACCCATAGCTTCTCTTTTCGTTGGGGTCCTGTCTGCTCGCATTAGCCATCCAAAAGCCCCAGGCTCTTATCTCTCCTTCCAAATCATATGTAGCGTCAACATTTACCTTATAAACAGTAAAAGAAGAGCAACTTTAAAATATACAAAGTATTTTATGTATTGCATGGACTATTTTAAATATACTTAATACTTCTTCAGGAATTTTATATCAAATATAAACTTGATTCTTTTGGTACATTATTTGCACTACCTAATGAAATAAAAATATATTTAATCTCTCAATAATACCTCAAATTCCATTGCAGAGTACACAACATAAAATTTAGAGCACAAGTTGTGGTATATAATGATTGGCCACAAAACGGATTAGAAACTAAAACTTTCCTTTCTTGTCATTCATTTATTTTTATGCAGGCCATGGAGATATGATTTAAAATTTTAAATAGGAGGGAGCTGAATTTTTCTCTTGCGAATATAAGTTCACTTAACTATTACTGTAGATCAAAAAGAGAAGAGAAGAATTAAAGAAAAAGAATAAATTATGTTAATTTTGAAGGGATTTTTATTTTCTTACCAGAACATTTTTGGTACCCATCTTTGAATTTTTTCATATTTAGTTAGTCATTTGACTTTAATAAAAGTAACATTTTTTATCATTCAATTATTATCATTTGAAACTTTTATATTTAGTTTTTCAAATTTAGTTAGTCATTCAACTTTAATTAGTAATATTTAATTCTCTATCTTAAATTTGAAGTCTAAACTAATGAGCATCCAAAGTTTCCAAATCACCTAAAGTCCAATAACGACTGGTATTGGTCTTATTACTCGCGACAATGGTATTAGAATTTGGGACGCACATGCAAGAATACATGGACTCCGCCTAAAGTTTTGGCAATGCATGAACTTGAGTTTCTAATTCATTTGAACCACACAATATCACTCGTATGACCATTTTCTGGGTGGTCGTGTCTAGGGTTTCTCCTAGTTGGAATTGTTCATCGATAACGGTGGTTGTCTGTAACACTTGAGATTTAATATAAATGGATTAATAGTACTACTCATACCAACAGAGGTGCATCTCCTTTTAAGGGAGCTCATCACCCAAGAACTCCAAAGTTAAGCGTGCTTGCACGGGAGTAGTCTTGGGATGGGTGACCCCCTGGGAAGTTTCTCAGGGCGCGCATGAGTGAGGACAAAGTGCGCGGTAAAGGCTAGTGGCGGTTTGTGGGGACAGTACTATTGGTCCGGAGTAACTACCTCGGGTCCGGTGGGGCCGGGGTGTTACAGGTGGTATCAGAGCAACCCTGCGACAGTGTGTTGACCCGTTGGATATCGAGCGGACACTTAGCAGGGGAAGATTCTGGGATTTGATTGAGATTTGAGATTGGTTCAAGGGCGCAACGAGGACGTTGCGATCCTAAGTGGGGGTGATTGTAACACTTGAGATTTAATATAAATGGATTAATAGTACTACTCATACCAACAGAGGTGCATCTCCTTTTAAGGGAGCTCATCACCCAAGAACTCCAAAGTTAAGCGTGCTTGCACGGGAGTAGTCTTGGGATGGGTGACCCCCTGGGAAGTTTCTCAGGGCGCGCATGAGTGAGGACAAAGTGCGCGGTAAAGGCTAGTGGCGGTTTGTGGGGACAGTACTATTGGTCCGGAGTAACTACCTCGGGTCCGGTGGGGCCGGGGTGTTACATTGTCGGACGCTTGATAGCGGGATTCGGAAGGTTAGCTTGGAAGGGGCGAGTGGGTTATAGGAGGGATTGCGAGAACAAGGGGAAGGGGTTTTTTCAACCGAATCTTACGAATCCACCATGAGTATTGTTAGCTGGAATTGTAAAGGACTGGGAACCCAACCACGATGCAAGGTCTCACGGATATTGTTAACCAACATAGGCCGTCAATCCTGTTTCTAATGGAGACTAAGCTTCGGTGCCAGCGCGCGAAGGAGATACTGCGGTCTTTGGGATTTACCAATGCGGCAGGTTATGATTGTGAAGGATGAAGTGGTGGCTTGATAATGGGTTGGCACGAGGATGTGGAGATAAGAATTCTAGAGGAGAACCCAAATTACTTAAATTGTAGAGTAAAGCTTCACACGGGGGGGGGGGGGGGGGATGACATGGAAGTTGACAGCGTATTATGCATTCCCGGATACAGTCAAAAGAAGAGCAGCCTGGACAATGTTACAGAACCTGGCTGAAGGAGTTTCGGAGCCATGGATGGTGATAGGGGATATGAATGATATCCTTTATGATTCGGAAAAGAAGGGCAGAGTTGTTCACCCGGTTTGGAGGATTCGTGGTTTTCAGGAGGCTGTTTTGGCTAGTGGATTGAGGGACCTCCCTTTTGACGGGTACCAATGGACTTGGGAGCGGGGAAAAGATACGGACTTCTAGGTTCAAGAGAAACTGGATCGCATACTGGTCAACGATCTCTGGTGGGACAGTTTTATGGCCGCCAAAGCTTCTTCGGTTGAAGCCCCAACTAGTGATCACGTGGCACTCTTGGTCCATATCAAACCTACGGTCCAAGATCATTATAGGATGGAGTTTAGGTTTGAGAATGGATGGCTGAGAGAGGAGGAATGTCATACGATTGTTACGAATACATGGAGAGCAGGCAAAGGAATGAATGTGTGTGATCGTTTGAATTTCTGCAGGGAGGAACAATAACGATGGGATAAACGTAGGACAAAGAGCTCTCGGCACCAAATAATTGCATATAAAAAACGTCTGACATATATGCGGCGGAGGGATGACTCGAATATTATAACGGAGTTTGTGCGGGTGAAGCACATCATTATAGATCTGTTGGAGAAGGAAAAATTTATACTGGAAGCAAAGATCGAAAGAATTTTGGTTGAAGGAAGGAGATGTTAATTCAAAATTTTTCCATAATGTTGTGAAAGCTAGGCGAAGGAAGAATAAATTGATATGGCTCCGCGCTGAGGGAGGAGCTTGGATTACGGACAGGGGAGAGGTGGCAGGTTTGGTGGAAGAGTATTTTTCCACGCTGTTTACTGATTCGGGTGAGGCAGGGAATTTCGAGGAGCTGGGTCACTTTCGCAAAGTAAGCTACCCCCAGAACCAGAAACTACTTTGCCCAATTACTGCGCAGGAGGTCAACAATGCTATCTTTGAGATGCATCCTGATAAAGCTCTAGGTAAGGATATGATGGCATGAACCCAGCATTTTTCCAAAAGTTTTGGGATGTTGTGGGACCGGAGGTGGTCGATTTGTGCAATAAACTCTTTGAGTCAGGTGTTATCCCTACGGAATTAAATCTAATTAATACAGTTTTAATTCCAAAAAAGGATAAACCGGAAGTTTTGGTGGACTGGAGACCAATTGCTTTATGTAATGTTGTCTATAATTTTTTTTAGAAGTTCTAGCCAACAGAATGAAAGGCATTCTAGGATCTCTTGTAGGGGATAGTCAAAGTGCTTTTATTCCTGGCAGATCCATTGTTGATAACACTGTTGTTGCTTTTGAAACCCAACATTTTTTGAAAGGAAAAAGGAAAGGGAAGGAGGGCTTTGCGGCTTTGAAGCTTGATATGAGCAAGGCTTATGACAGAGTCAGTTGGATTTTTTTTGAAGCAGATCATGCTTCGAATGGAGTTTGATCCGAGGTGGGTGGAGGTTGTTATGGCGTGTGTGTCGTCGGTGAATTATTTTATTCAGGTTGACAGGGATCATTTGCGGCCGATCACCCAGGAAGGGGGCTGCGACAGGGGGATCCTCTTTCCCCATATTTGTTTATTTTAGTGGCAGAAGGATTGAGCTCTATGATTAATAGGGCGGTGGCGGGTGGTAGAATCCATGGAGTGGCAGTCTGCAAAGGAGCCCCGATAATTAGCCTTTTTTTTTGCAGATGATAGCTTCTTGTTCTTTAGAGCTAACAAGAATGAATGCGGCCAAGTTAAGAGTATTTTATCCCAATATGAAAAGTTATCGGGTCAGATGGTTAACTTTGACAAATCATCGGTGGTTTTCAGCCCCAATACTGTGGAGACCGAGAGGGTGAGCTGCCGAGCCAGGTTGGGAATTAGGGCCGGGGTGGAACAAGGTAAGTACCTCGGATTACCTGCTTTGGTTTGTAGGAATAAATCCGCTATATGGGGCTACATTAGGGATATAATTTTTAGTAGAATCAAGAGCTGGAACAACAGGTTTTTATCGAGAGCTGGGAGGGCAGTACTGTTAAAATGTGGTCCAAGCTATGCCATCTTATGCTATGAATGTTTTTTATTACCTCAGGAGCTCTGTAACAAAATTGAGAAGCTTATGAATGGGTTTTGGTGGAGAGGAACGAAGCTGGATCAAAAAGGTTTAAGATGGAGGAGTTGGGAGAGATTGAGTAAACCGCGAGAAGTAGGAGGTCTGGGCTTTAGAAGAATTAGAGAATTTATTATTGCGATGTTAGCAAAGCAAGGATGAAAGCTCACTAGAGATGATAACAGTTTGATGTGTCGGGTTTTAAAAGCTAGGTATTATCCCAAATCGTCTTTCTTGGAGTCTAATTTGGGGAATAATCCGTCTTTTATATGGAGAAGCATCTTTGAAACACTAGGAATTCTTAAGGAAAATATTAGAAGAAGGGTGGGAAATGGGGTTGATGTTCAGGTATGGGCTGATGCATGGCTTGCGGGGAACAGATGCGAACGTGTGACGTCACCAAAACCGTTGTATGTAAGTGATATGAATGTGGCGGCATTAAGGGATAGTTCGGGGAAAAAGTGGAATTATGAGAGAATTAATTCTATCTTTAATAATGAAGACAAGGAGCGGATTTTGAGCATTCCGATTAGTCATCATAATAAAAAGGATAGTTATTGGTGGTGTGGGGAAGAGAATGGGAACGCTTATGTGAAAAGTTGTTATAGATTACTTATGGGGAACATCTTAAACTTGGAAGTTCTTCCGAAGTTTAAATATCTTGTTTGGCAAATGATTGATGGTTCCATGCCTGCGGTAGATAACTTGAGGCGTAAAGGTGTTCAGATTGTGGGAGGATGCAAACTTTGCGGAGATGGGGATGAGTCCCTTGATCATGTGGTAAGGGTGTGTCTGTGGGCTAAGCAGGTTTGGGACCAGGCGGGTATTGGAGTGGACTTGGTCAACTCGGTGGAAGATTGGATGAGAGGAAAACTGGAGTCGGGTAGTCCTAAGGAGAAAGAAAAATTTGTTTCATTATTATGGAGTATTTGGAAAAGAAGGAATAATGTAGTTCGGAAAGATAAAAAAGAATCAGCGAGTTGTGTTCTTAATGCAGCGACAAGTATGGCAGAAGGGTGAAAATATGTGCAGCAGAGGCAGTCTGGCCCTCTGCAGCAGGACGAACTGGTGCCAACTCGGGGAGGAACTAGTGAGACTACAACAACTTCTCGTATGGATGGCGTAGCTGATGATGGAAATTTGGGTGGTGTGCAACAGCTAATTCCAGGACAGTTCTCTGCTTTGCAGCGGGGTCCAGTTTCAGAGTAGGTTGGAAGGAAGCATCACGACAGAAGCAGATTAGGGCTCTTAATGAGGCTGGGGAAGATTAGGGCATGGGTATGGATTGCATGAAATGCGGAAGGAGAATTTATAAAGGCCAAAGGAGTGTCAGCGAAAGGGTCACGGTCGGTTGCCGAGACAGAAGCATTAGGTATGCGGGATGCAGTCATGGAAGCAGTTAAGGAAGGATGGAACAAGGTGGAATTTGAGACCGATGCTATGACAGTGGTGCAAGGAATTCAGAAGGGAGATGGCTCGGCTTGTTTACATTTAATTATTGATCGATGATATTAGAGCTATTTGGAGTCTAAGAGGAATTTTGTTATCCATCAGCGAATCGTGCTGCTCATGCATTGGCTAGAGCACACGTTTGTTTATCTCAGATAAGGAGTGTGTTTATGAGTTTGCTCCTCAGTGTGTTGTAAGCCATCTAGCGACTGATTTGATTAATTAATATATGGTTGGATTGGATGATCAAAAATAAAAATTCATTTGAACCACACATGTGTAGAATATCATTTTTCCTCTTATTACCAATATAAGACAATAAAAGAACTAATCGAAAAAAGTGAAACTATTTGACATTACAATGTTACAAATTATAAGAAAAGAAGAGAAGGAAAAAATTTTAAAAAGTGCATTTCATATGACATAATAGGAAAATAATAAAAGATTATATTTATATTAGTAAAGCTTTGAGATTCATATGATCAAACCAAATCAAACCTTTTTTTGGATCAGGTATCAAACCTTTCTCGGGCCAGATTATATTAACACAAATTGTGAACAAAGTTGTGTCTATTAAAAAATTTCAGTGTTTTATCCAATATATATCACTCTAAGAACTTATGCAACTCCCTCCTTAGATTAAATGTATGTTTGCATCTCTGAAATATGGCAGCTGCCTATGACATTTGTGAGTTAATAATAAAACAACTATTCGTTTGTTGGTTCTATTTACCGGTAAGAGCATCTTCGATGCTAAAACGTTAACGGTGCATACGTGGCATGAGAAATAACCAATTAGAAAATAATAAATAGAATATCTCTCTCCTAATTTGAAGGATCTTACATCACTTTGGTAAGTTTTTCTTCACAATGTCAAGCACAATGTCTAGATGTAGACATTGTGGTTGACATTGCAGACAAAAACTTACCAAAAACACATAAGAGCATGGAAAGAAGAAGATAGAAATGTCATAAAATCAATATTTTGTGTCTATATCTCTCATGCCACATGTGTACCGTGCATATTGTAGCATTGGAGATGCTCTAAGCGATGTATTCACGATATCTCTTAGAGACCACTAAAGAAGCATACTTCCAAGTCCCACCTATAGCATTCATTGCATTTCTTTTTCTACCCGTGTTTCTATACTTCTAATTAAGATTATCTATATTTTAGAGATGCCTTAATATGTGTTTGATCAAAGCAGATAGAATCCAAGTTTCTCTATATTAGTCTCAACAAATACGCATATATGGACCAAAAGAGTGGTAGCACATCAACAAGGTAAAACCAATGCAGCACAAAAACAGGAATTCAATGAAAGAGGATTACCTGGAACTACTGGTTGTGCTCAAACACATCATTTATGTTTTCTAGAACCATTGGTCTACCAATCATATATGCATGGGAAAATTTAGTCTGTTCTCGATTTGAACCTAAATTTCAAGAAGACATACTTTCAAACATAAGTCAAACAAATCTAGGTGCAACAGAATGGAGAATATCTAAAGGTATATGAATTTCAACAGAATGACACTCCAGAAATAGAAAAAGGAAAGACAGAGTGAAGCAAGAAAAAAAAAGCAAAATACCTTGGCAGTAAAATGAAGTATAAGCAAAAGGGCAATAAAAGGCTTCTCAACTCTTATCCGTTTAATTCTTTCAATCTAACTATTGAACGAATTAAACAAATTTTTGAGGACAAAACAAATACATGATTGACCCCAGAAAATGACAAGCTATGAGGCAAAGGAATATTATAATCATCACACCGGAGCCATGAACTCTTTGCATAAATAAAGAAACGGGTAGAATAACAACTCATATCAGAAGTTTTAATTCAGTAATTAATTTGGACCCAATGACAGTATTTAAGCCTTAGCAGATTCAAGGATCTAAAGGTTGCTTATAAAGATAACACCGAAAGACTCTTAAAAGAGTACTCTTAACATAGCATTATTGGAATGTTAGAACTGAAGAGAGGTTAACATGACATTATTAAACTGGACATGAAAATGACCAAAACAAACCAACAACAAAAGTTAACCATATGCTACTGATATCTTATAGAGAACACTCCAAACCAAACAAAACTATTAAACTTAAACTCTTAAAGAAAATAGAGGGCTTCAAGTTTCTGAAAATGATTTTTAAAAAACTTAATAAAAATATGTATGTTTAAGAAAAATATTGATAAGCTAAAACTAATTAAAAAGGAATTTATAAGAAGAATGGGCTTCGAACAAGAGTAAAGAAGAAGATGATAAGAGAGTGAACAAGAGTGAAAACTTGTGTATTATTCGAATGTGAGCTGCCTGGTTATAATGAAAACTTTTGAAGGAGAGGGAGAAGATTGATAAGGGTTTATAAGCATCCCTTTCATGTTAGGGTATTGAAGGATAACAAAACAAATGATAGTTTTAGCTCAATTCAAAATGAATATCAGTTCATCTATTTGAATCCGATGTATACGTTACGTGATTTTAATTATAAAATTTCTGCAATCCATCTTCTTCAAATTTTTTAACTCACAAACAAACATAAGTGTTTTTGAGTTCTTTCACTTCCCCCCTTCTCCCCTCAAGGTAACTTTCAAAATCCTTGCCTCCCTCATGTCCCAAATTCTCAAAGATACCCTAAGAAAAGGTAGCAGTGGTAATATAAAGGGTGTAAAGTAAACGTGATAATGAAAAAATAAGAGAAAAAAGTAGTTTGTAAAAGAGTGAATTCTCCAAATATGAGTAAAACATGGGCAAAATGCAAAAATAGCAGGTACTATGTTTTGAACATGAGTAATTTTAGTCTTTGAACAAATATACCCCTACCCAAGCTCAAGCCCCCGGCCACCGCGTCGGCATTCATATTTCATTAATATGTAAAACATAAAAGTAATAACATAAATTTATTTATAATAAAAATGTAAAAAAAAAATTAAAACATGAAAATAAATATTAAATAAAATAAATAAAAAATAATTAAAATAAAAACTTATTAAATAGAAAACTAAAAAATAACATAAAAAAGTAAACAATATAAAAATATGCAATTCTCTGCCGCCGCCTCAACAATCTCCCAACACCACCAGCTCCGGCCACCAAAAAATGCCAACATTGGTCAGAAATGCCATCTTGATGGCAGTTTTCGAGAATATTTCGACATTTTCAAAGAGTAAAAATGTCATCTGTATGACATTTTCAAAGAAAAAAAACAGTTTTTACATAAAGTGACATTTTACACCGATTGGAGGTGGCATTACTGGGTGGTGGACAAGGCAGTGGGAAAGGCCTCCATATATTTATATATTTTAAATATTTTTCTCTATTTTTTTTAAAAGTTTTTTATTTTTTTAAAAATTGTTCTTTTAATTTTTATTATTTATTAGTTTTTAAACATATTTTAGAATTATTTATATTTTAATAGGACCAAGTCTTATTTTAGAATTAATTAATTAGATCAGAGCTATTAAGAATAAAAAATTTCTTAAAAAAAAGAATAAAAAATTAATGTTTACTCTAGTGAAATTTTAAGTTTACTTTTATTTATGTCATTATATTTATGTTTACTCTTACACCAAGGAATTTGTGTTTGTAAAACGTAAATGATAAAAATACCAAATGAGCCGACGTTGTGATGCCCGGATGCACCGAACTGATCAATTTATCGATCGTTCATAGTGACTCTAACTTTACTCGTTGTGAGCTGTAACGCCGTGCCACCGCCAGTAGCGCCGCCTTGGGAAGCCCAATTTGCGTCGTCGTTCGCCGTTCATATGACGGAGTTTGCCGAGCTCGAAGCTCAAGATGCGGTGCGGATGCCGTGGAACGTAATGCCGGGGACCAAATCCGAAGCGGCTCAATGCGTGATTCCGGTCTCCGCCATCTATACCCCCTTGAAACCTTTCCCGGATCACCCGGTCCTCCCCTATGCCCCTCTCCGTTGCAGGAACTGCCGATCGGTCCTCAACCCGTTCTCCATGGTTGACTTCTCAACCACGAAGATGTGGATCTGCAGCTTTTGCTTGCAGCGCAACCATTTTCCCGCCAATTACCAGTCCATTTCAGAAACTAACATGCCCGCCGAGCTGTTCCCTCAGTACACTACGATTGAGTACGAAAGTGCCCCAGAAAGGGCCGCGCTTACAACCCCTGTCTTCCTATTTGTCATTGACACGTGCCTCATCGAGGAGGAGATTGGCTATTTGAAATCCTCTCTCTTGCAGGCATCCACTTCTCTTTGTTTCTTGTTATTTATTCATTTATATAATAAAATGTAGGCGTGCATTAGTTTCTGATTTGAATGGCTCTAAGCTGGGGATGAAGTATCTAGTTAGAGTTGTTATAGACAGACAGGACTTACACATAAGAAATTTCGTAATGAAGTGAATTCAGTGGAATAGCAAGACTGTTTTTTTTTATACAATTCCCGAAATAGGAGTAAAACATCACAAATGCTCTCAAATAGGAGCTCCATTGCTTACTTCTCAAAATAGGACTCATATACTCCTATTTAGGGTAGTTTTTAAACTTTTTATTCTTTTATGCTTTTAGTAGTACTAAAAAACGCCTATTTTAGGAACAAAACATACTTGGTCATTTTTTAGAACTTTACCTATGATTTATCCTATTTTGAGCAATTTCTAATTTTTTATTGATGTAATATTAAAACCACCATAGTGCAAAAAATTTGACCCCGTTGGTGTGAGGCTTTGCGGCACTGGGGTGATGATGATGATGATACTTTGTATATTGCCAGTCTCTCATAGGTGCAATAAGTTATTAGATTACTTCATTTTGTTGGGTAAAATTGGAACTGTAACTGATATTGCATTGTATTTAACTTTTCCTTCCAACAGTCATACGCAACAAACTTTTGCTTGCAAACTTATTTGACAAATTTTGTATCGTTTAAATCAACATACTAGTGAATGTTACTTCTGGCAATTGGTAATTGTTTATGAGTTTGGGATGTTTGTTTTAATTGCATAACCTGTAGCTATATTTCTCTGTTAAAATGATGTGCTCTAACAGATGTTAGAGTAAACTGTTATATGTGTGTAAGTCCTCTTTATGTTAAATATATCCTATTGGAATGAATTTTCGTATGCTTATTTTCTTCTCCGTGTGCTTATTTTCATATTCATTTTCATGGGTAGTCTAAGGAAATGTTATATGTAGTTTTCCCACAACATAGTTTAACATGTTTTTCAGTTTTTGTTTATGAATCTCATTCTATTTCATTATGGCACTATGGCAGGTGTTAGGCACATTGCCTGAGAATTGTTTGGTTGGATTGATAACCTTTGGTTCATATGTGCAAGTTCATGAGCTGGGCTTTGGGCTGATTCCAAAGGTTTATGTGTTCAAAGGGTCAAAGGAAGTCACTAAAGACCAAATTTTGGAACAGATGGGTTTCTTTTTAAAGAAACCAAAGCCAACTACTGGGGTCATTGCTGGGGCAAGAGATGGGCTTTCACAAGAGAGTATTTCAAGGTTTTTGCTGCCAGCATCTGAGTGTGAATTTACACTAAATTCTGTAAGTTCCTCCATTCCACTTCGCATGCTTATTTGTACACGAAACACAGTAACCCAAACCTTAAATTCCCAAAAAAGAATTTGGAGTAGGTCGTGTCGGTCTAAAAATTCATATTCGATTAAAGTCATTAAACATTATGTGACTTTAGGCCATTTACTATGTTAGATATTGGAAGAGCTTCAAAGAGATCCTTGGCCTGTGCCTGCAGATAAACGGGCATCGAGGTGCACTGGCACTGCTTTGAGTGTGGCTGCCCATTTATTGGGAGTATGTGTTCCTGGTTCTGGGGCTAGAATCATGGCATTTCTAGGTGGGCCCTCAACAGAAGGGCCAGGTGCTGTAAGTCTTTCTCTCTGCTATTCGGATTTTATGTATCTCATTGATGCTAGCATATGATCCCATCTTTAATTATCCTGTCATTTGAATGCCCCAGATTGTTTCGAACACCCTATCTGAACCTATACGGTCCCACAAGGATTTGGACAAAGACTCTGCTCCATTATATCACAAGGCAGTAAAATTCTATGAAGCACTTTCGAAGCAGCTTGTACACCAAGGGCATGTACTTGATGTTTTTGCTTGTGCGCTGGATCAGGTAGTTTTCTTCGTTATTCTCTTAAACCATAAAATACTTTAGGGGTTATCCCAAATTGCTCAACTGACTTCTGCGAATGGCTACAATTTGCATACCAATCATTAGGTTGGACTTGCCGAACTTAAAGTAACGATTGAAAAGACTGGAGGGCTTGTTGTATTGGCTGAAAGTTTTGGCCATAAAGTTTTCAAAGATTCATTGAGACAAGTGTTCCAGCCAGGAGAAAACGATCTCGAACTATCATCAAAGTAAGGCTTCGACTTACTTTTTTCATTACTATCATAAAAAATATGTTGTTTGAGATGACTATCATAAAATGCTTACTCCCTCCGTCCCCCAAAATACTTCCCACTTTGACTTGGCACGCCTATTAAGAAAGTGAGAATAAAGTGAAAATGTATGGTTGTGGTTGAGTAAGAAAAAGGTAAATGAATGTTAGCCACACAAAACTTTCCAAAAATGGCAAGTGGGAAGAATTTTTGGGACACCCCAAAATGGTAAGTTAGAAGAATTTTATGGGACGGAGGGAGTATTTCAAGCTCTTCTGAAGAGCAAAATTTGACATAAGTACTTTTAACTGTGTCAAAGCAAAAAAATTATAACAAAAGAACCAAAGTTTTTCTTTTGAAATCTTTCAGGAAGGACCTTGGCGTTTAGCTTTTTCACAAGTCATCTTAAATGGGCCCTTAATAACATGGGATGTCATCGATCTATGACCTTTTTTTAGTTTTGAAGCATTTCTTGCATTTTTGAGTTCCATTACATCTATTATTAACTTGGTTTGGCATGTCTTGCTTGATTTATTGCTTGTTTTAATTAATCAAAGATGTAATTTTATTTCATCTCTCTATTTTTATTTCTATATAATCTTTCTAAATTGCCACAGTTCATGTTTTATCTTAACTTGCACGCAGTGGCATTTTTGAGATTAACTGCTCAAAAGATATCAAAGTTCATGGAGTCATCGGTCCTTGTGCATCACTTGAAAAGGTAAAAAGAAATCGTCATTTTTTGCAAAAGGCCTATTTTTTTCATAAGCTTCTAACTGGTCATAATTTGTTTGTGTTATTTGCACAGAAAGGTCCTCTCTGCTCTGAAACTGTTATTGGTCAGGGAAATACAACAGCGTGGAAAATGTGTGGTCTTGATAAAACCACTTCCTTGTGTCTTTTATTTGAGATTAGCAAGAAGGAGAATCCGGATGCTATTGCTCAATCTGCAAACACACAGTTTTTTTTCCAGTTCTTGACATAGTATGAATTTCTAATTTTTATACGTTGCTATTGTTTCAAAATGTGTGCACAACTGCACACTGGATTGTAAAGGCTTGACTAAATAATTGATGTTTCAGTTATCAGCATAAAAATGGACTGATGAGGCTTCGTGTTACTACACTCTCAAGACGATGGGTTTCTGGACCTGGAAGCATACAGGCAAATATTCACAGCTGCATCTGCTTCTTTTTTATGTATTTATTTATTGCATTATTGCAAATTATTGTAATTTATTTAAAAAAGCTTGATATGCCTTATTTCTTTACTTCTTGATTAGGAGCTAATTGCTGGATTTGATCAAGAAACTGCTGCTGTAGTAATGGCACGCCAAGCCTCATTCAAAATGGAAACTGAGGTACTACTTTCTATTGAAAGTTATGCCTTTAGATTTTTTCAGATCATTTTTAGGTTTTCTTGTAATTGGTATCCTCAAGTTTAAAACTAAAGCTTCCATATGTTATATGTATATTTTTATTTATGTGTATATGTATAATATTCAGGCTGAGTTTGACCCTATAAGATGGCTGGATAAGTCTTTGATACATATGTGCTCCCAATTTGGTGACTACCAAAAGGATAGCCCTTCGTCTTTTAGTCTCTCTCCTCGTTTCTCAATATTCCCACAATTTCTTTTTCACCTACGGCGATCTCAATTTGTACAGGTATATAAGTCTTGTCTTGAATAATGCATACTCTTCTATCATAATCTAATTATCTGTACTTTGTTTTAAAACCTAATTAGGTCTTCGGGAACAGCCCAGATGAGACAGCTTATTATAGAATAATTCTGAATCGGGAGAATGTTTCAAATTCTGTCGTGATGATTCAGCCGTCATTAATCTCCTACTCTTTTCAATCTGGTCCTGAACCGGTTCTTCTTGATGTGGGAGCAATTGCTGCTGACAGAATTCTTCTTTTGGATTCTTACTTTACTATTGTTGTCTTTCATGGATCAACCATTGCTCAATGGCGAAAAGCTGGATACCATGAACAACCTGAGCATCAGGTCTAGTCTCTATGCTCTTATGTTATCATTTCATGGGCAACGGTGCACGTAGGTGTAAATGTGGCTCTCACATTCATAACTTTGTCCAAATTCACCCGCTGTTCGCTTCGAGATTTATATTGGCCCTTAAATGCTATAACAAGAAACTAAAATCTCAAAATTAATTAATTTAATATATTATGTGCAAATGCAATTAAGATTGAATAATATATTGTGATTTCAACATTTGCAACACATATATCTTATATCTGTGTTGGATGCTTCCGTTTCTTATTCTTATTTTCCTTGCTGATGTACCCAAAAAAATATTACCATGGAGTATTATTTTGTAAGGAGCATATGCAATATTCCATACATCGGAATAATAAAAAGAAGCATTTAATAACACATATAGTCAAATATAAGATATGTAATACAAGTGTAAGATACATGTGTAAGATATTCTCACACATTATAAATTAGATTACTTATTTTTTAGGGAAAATGGAAACTAATAATCCAACCTTTTAGCGGTCTTACAATAATCCAACTTTTTGGTTATTCATGAATAATCCAACCTTTGCACCTCATCTTCATTCACTGGTCCCTGACCGGTTGATGACTTGCTATTCCAAGTTATTTTCTTATCTTTGCAAATCATTATACCATAAATCTCATCTTTCACAAAGATAATATTTTGCAAAGATAAAAAAATAACTTGGAATAGTAGGTCATTAACCGACCAGGGACCAATGAATGAAGATGAGGTGCAAAGGTTGGATTATTCATGAATAATCAAAAGGTGGGATTATTGAAAGAAGACCGCTAAAAGGTTGGATTATTAGTTTCCATTTCCCCTATTTTTTATTATCATTAAAATTCTTGTTTTGGCATTTATGGGGAAAACATTAATGGCCAATCTGCACTGGAATGAATTGTATGCAGATTTCACTCATACAATAGTGTCATTTTGTAACTCAGCTAATTCTCTAGAGAAAATTATGACTATGAGTGGTCTGATTGGGTCATGACTGATGAACTCTGGTTGAGTGGAGTAATCTTAAAGCTGCGTAACATGTAGCCTTTTCTGATTTTTCAGGCATTTGCTCAGTTATTGAAATCTCCCCAGGATGATGCAGAGTCAATCATCCGGGAAAGATTCCCAGTGCCTCGCCTTGTCATATGTGATCAGCATGGATCCCAGGTATTAATATTTTTAACTCTTTAAGTTTAAAAAAATCACATATGGACAGGCAGAAATTTTACTTCTTACTGAACTCCGAAATGAAATTATTATGATGTTGGATGCAGGCTAGGTTTTTGTTAGCGAAGTTAAATCCTTCTGCTACGTACAACTCGGAAGCCCCTCCTGTTCCTGGAGGGGATATTATTTTCACTGATGATGTTAGTTTTGAAGTCTTTTTAGATCATCTTCAGCGTCTGGCTGTTCAATAGATATTCATTTTTCTCCTTTTACATTTTCTTACGTAGGGGGACTCAATTTGTAAGGTTTACTTTGAATTGAGTGTACAGTGATGCATAAGACATTTTATTAAGTTAGGAGGGTATCTGGAGTATGGAATTTGAAGGGTTTTTTAGATTTATAAATTTTGTGTTGCTTTAAGGTAATTGAGTTTTGTGCTTCGTAAATAATAAACGATTCCGCTAGTTCTGCCACATCAATTGAGAGAGAATTTAAACTTTTAAAAATCTGAAAAAAAATTCATTCATTCTAATAGACTTTTATGAGGGTGTCCTCAATCTGAAATCTTACGGATTTTAAAGAAAGTTAGGAGTTATCGATTTGGATTTGTATGAAGTCGGTGAAAATTATGGTGTTCTCAAACATTTCATGGAAACATTTCATGGATTTCTATTATTATTTGTTTTGATGAAATTTGATAGATTTTAGAATTCCATCAAAATTTGATGTTCTCAAACATTTCATGGATTTCTATTATTATTTGTTTTGATGAAATTTGATAGATTTTAGAATTCCATCAAAATTTAGGAGTTATCGATTTGGATTTGTATGAGTTAAGGGTGGACTCGGTTCGGGCCGGGCCCGGTTCGGTTCTATATAATTTTTTTTTTTGGGTTTTCCTAATCAACCCCCTACCCTCCCCCTTAACCCCAAACCACCCCAAACCACCTCAAATGGTCCAAAATACCCAATCCAACCCAAAAACTTAAAAAAAAAAATTCAAAAAAAAAAAAAAAATTAAACCCGGCCCGGACCGGGCCCGAACTGGCCGGGCCGGTTCACCAAAATGAAGGCCTGAGCCTGGAACCAGTAGCCACTGGGCCGGGTCGACCCGAACTACCCATGGGCCGGGCCGCCGGGCCGGTTCCGGTTCGGGCCACCCGGCCCGAGTCCACCCCTATATGAAGTCGGTGAAAATTCTGGTGTTCTCAAACATTCCATGGATTTCTATTATTATTTGTTTCGATAAAATTTGATAGATTTTGATGGAACTACAAGTATAAAATGAAAGGCCACTTCGCAAAGTTGGAGATGAGTTTTGATTTGGGAACTACTCCTTCCTCGGCTCTATAGAGACCTGCTACCTGGCAAAGCAGGGGAATCACCCCAGGAACAGAAATTGTTAGCCCATCAAATTGGGATTTGGGTAGAGTTAGGCGTGGACCCGGTTCGGGCCGCCCGGCCCGGGACCGGCCCGGCCCGTCACTGTGCGGGCCCGGAACCGGCCCGGTTCTCGGGTCCGGGTCCGGTTCGGGCAGAGACCCGGTCGGGTTAGCGGGACCGGGCTCGGGTCCTGGTTTTGGAGGCCCGGCCCGGCCGGGTCGGGCCCGGGCCCGGGCCTAACGGTCCACTATTTAAAAAAAAAAATTTTTTTTTTTTTGGATTCTTTTGGCTCAAACGGCTACCCCAAACGGCTATATAGCCGTTGGGTGTACCAGGGGGGGGTCAGGGGGGTTGGGGTGGGGGGGTGGGGTGGGGGGTTGGGGTGGGGGGTGGGGGTTAAAAAAAAAACCTATAAATACTCCTAATTTTAAACATTTTTTCACACCTCTTCTCCAACTCTTCTAAATCCTACTCTCTACTCATCTCCATTCTCCAATTCTCCATATTCATCTTCTCTAATTCTCTTATTCTCCTTTATATTTTATTTTACTATTTAATACTTATACAATTATTATATCTACTTATATATTAATTATCTACTTATATATATTATTATCTACATATACTATATTGCTTATATTTCTTATCTACTTAATTTCTACTTATATCTCTTAATACATACATACATACTATATCTACTTAATATATACTTTATATAATAAAGTATTAAATATACTTTATAAACTATTATTATATACTTAATACATAATAATATCTACTTCTCTACTTATATTTTATATATACTTATTTTCCAATCTCCAATTCTCCATTATACTCTAATATTTAATTCTTATACAATTATTATATCCACTTAATACATACATTCTACATCTACTTAATATATATTTATATATTAAAGTATAAAATATAAGTGTATTACTCATCGTATAGTATAGTATACTTATATATTATATAATATAAACATTATATTATATATTACTTACTATAACTAGTATTATACTAGTTAATTAGTTAATTAGCATTCTTGTTACATTTTTCATTATACTAGTTAATTAGTTCATTACCATTATTGTAACATTTTTCATTATACTAGTTAATTACTTAATTAGCATTCTTGTTACATTTTTCATTATACTAGTTAATTAGTTCAATACCATTCTTGTTACATTTTTCATTATACTAGTTAATTAGTTCAATACTTCAATACCATTCTTGTTACATTTTTCATTATACTAATTAAAATACTTCACATTTTATTTAACTAGTTGTTAGTTTGTTACATTTGTCACTATACTAGTTAACTACTTAATTAGCATTGTTGTTCATTTTTACTTGTACTAGTTATTTACTTCAAAAGTTGCTATAATTTTAATTGTAGAGACACACATTAATTCTACTTTGCAAAAAATTAGTTTGAAGTATTAATTAAAATAGTTTTAATTAGTTGCATTAGTTTTGTATCCATTATTATATTTGTTGTGAATTAATATTTGTTACATTTTTTAGATGGAAGGTGGTAGATATTCGGTTGATTTGGGTAACCTCCAACGCAATCGAAGAAACGAGATTGGGAGGAAGAAATCCCGCAAAGGTAAAGAACTTGCCGGGTCTTCATCTCAAAGCCGAGATGATTTTGAAACGGGTTACCAAAGGCGAGATGGAGATGCGATGTCCGAAGAACAACTCCAACAAGAATTGGCCCGACATAATAACCGCTTTCTACAACAACAACAAATGCCGACGACCATTGACGAAGAGGAGCTTGAGGATGAAGATGCGGAGGAATTGGAACCGGAGACGGCCGAGGAGGAGGGTGCCGGCAGCCACGACGCCGACGCGCCTGCCTCATCCCAAACCGCCACCGGTAATAAAAAAAGTAAGTCTGAATTAATGCAAAATAATTTTGATAAATGGAAGGACCCACAAACTGGCTATTGGCACGCAACTTGCAAGTGGTGCAACAACAATTATAGTTTGGGAACCTCCGGCGGATACGGATCCGCCGCAAGGCATCTTAAGTCAAAGCACCCCGTGGAGTACGCAAAATTAGGCGGCGGAACGGGGAAGCAAACTCAAATATCGAGGTTTGCGAATTCTCAACCTTTTGGTAATTTCGCCTACAATGATGCACAAAATTTGACTGGTATGGCTAACTTAATTTGTGAAGAAAATTTGCCTTATTTGTTTTCTGAAAGTCTTGCTTTAAGAGATTATGCACAAGGTAGTTTAAATCCTCAATTTAGAAATTATAGTCGCAAAACTGTTAAGAAAGAAATAATAAGGCTTTATAATGCGGAAAAGGAAAGGTTACAAAATTTTTTTGCAAACTTTGATGGGCGTGTTACTATTTGTTCTGACATATGGGAGGATGATTTTCATCATTTATATTATTTGGGTCTGACTGCACATTATATTGATGAGGATTGGAATATGCATAAACGTGTTCTTGCTTTTCGTGAATTTAATGATCGTCACACAGCTGAACATATTTATATTTTGATTGAGCGTATTTTAATTGAGTATAATTTGATTGATAAGGTGTTTGCTATTGGTTTCGATAATGCTACTAATAATACTGCTGCTATACCTAGATTGCGTGAGTTGTGTGGTGCCAATTCTTTGATGGGTAGATTTTTTCATCAACGGTGTGCATGTCATGTTATAAATTTATGTGTGCAAGACGGTTTAAAAGCGTTAGGAGATTCCATGGAGGTAATAAAGGGGGGGGGGGGGGTTAGACGTATTTGGGGTAATGGTCAACTTAGATTAAAATGGCAAAGTTATTTGACTGAAAGAGGTGTGAGATATGTTGCTTTTCCTAAAGATTTGAGTATTCGTTGGAATAGTACTTATAAATTACTTAAAGTTGTTCTTAGATATAAAGAACATTTTCCTGCTTTTTTAAAAGAACATGATAACTATATTATAAACGCGGCTGAGATCGACACTTGCGAAAAAATTTGTAATGTTTTGATATATTTTTTTAATGCTACTGAAACTTTTAGTCATGTTTATAAACCTACCGCAAACCAATTTATTCCACAAGCTGTTAATCTCGCCGATGCTTTTAAAGAATTTCAAAATGCCGTTTTCGTTCATTATTTTTGTGATTATATGAAGGAAAAGTTTTTAAAATATTATGCGCATATTCCCCATATTTATGGTATTGCATTTATTCTCGATCCTCGTTATAGACTTGCTAATTTGGAAAGTTGTTTCAACTTCTATTATCTTGCGTTTTTCGGTGAATTTCCAATGTATGAGGATAACCCCATAGATCCGAAAACGGAATACAACGAGGTTAGTACTTTATTTTATGCCTTATTTAATGAGTTTCGTTCACAATATGGCAACGCTCCCCCTCCCCCGCCACGAACATCTTCATCTAAAGGAAAATCGATTTTTAAATCTGCATTTGGCAATCTTATGAAAAAAACTAAAACAACTCACGTCACTGAACAAAGCGCATTGAATGAGATTACTTTGTATTTAACATATGAAGTTGATTTTGAAGAAAATGATGACTTCGACGTTCTAGACTGGTGGAAGTCAAAAGAAAGAACGTTCCCGATTTTAGCACGGATGGCTAAGCAAGTACTATCAATGCCGGTTTCAACAGTTGCTGTGGAACAAGAATTTAGTTCGGCCGGCAACGTCCTAACGGCATCTAGATCGAGATTGAGCGCGGAGTCTCTTGAGACGCTTATATGCTACCACGATTGGTTGAAGGCCGCACGTAGAACTCAAGAATTGAGCATCACCCCCTCCCAAGATTTTATGGATGACTCAACAACCGATGGTGGCTCTACCTATGCCGGAGATTCCGATTGATTAGTATTTTAGAATTTAGTACAAAATGTATTTTATAGCACTTGTCAAATTTATTTATACTTGTACTTCATATTTCAAAATTGTAAATTTGTAGTTGTAGTTCAAATTAATTTGTAAACTTGTACTTCATATTTCAAATAAATATGTGTTCACTTTTTCATATGTAGCACTTCTCAAATTAATTAATTGG